AGATGTGTGAACTGAAATTCGTTTCGCTTTAAATCGCACACTTTATAAAATACAGCAGTTTAAACAAAACTGTCAAAAATGAATTTTTTCAAATTGAAAATAACGCAAATCCAAATCAGCAGTCTTATTAAGAATCGTTTATAGATATGTGAACTGAATTTCGTTTCGCTTTAAGTCGCACACTTTAAAAAATACAGCAGTTTAAACAAAACTGTCAAAAATAAATTTTTTCAAATTGAAAATAACGCAAATCCAAATCAGCAGTCTTATTAAGAATCGTTTATAGATATGTGAACTGAATTTCGTTTCGCTTTAAATCGCACACTTTAAAAAATACAGCAGTTTAAACAAAACTGACAAAAATAAATTTTTTCAAATTGAAAATAAATCTAAATCAGCATCTTATTAAGATTCGTTTATAGAATGTGAACTGAAATTCTTTCGCTTTAATTTCACACTTAAAAATACACAGTTTAAACAAAACTGCAAAAAATTTCAAATTGAAAATAACGCAAATCCAAATCAGCAGTCTTATTAAGAATCGTTTATAGATATGTGAATTAATTTTTTTTAATCGCACACTTTAAAAAATACAGCAGTTTAAACAAAACTGTCAAAAATAAATTTTTTCAAATTGAAAATAACGCAAATCCAAATCAGCAGTCTTATTAAGAATCGTTTATAGATATGTGAACTGAATTTCGTTTCGCTTTAAGTCGCACACTTTAAAAAATACAGCAGTTTAAACAAAACTGTCAAAAATAAATTTTTTCAAATTGAAAATAACGCAAATCTAAATCAGCAGTCTTATTAAGAATCGTTTATAGATGTGTGAACTGAAATTCGTTTCGCTTTAAATCGCACACTTTAAAAAATACAGCAGTTTAAACAAAACTGTCAAAAATAAATTTTTTCAAATTGAAAATAACGCAAATCCAAATCAGCAGTCTTATTAAGAATCGTTTATAGATATGTGAACTGAATTTCGTTTCGCTTTAAATCGCACACTTTAAAAAATACAGCAGTTTAAACAAAACTGTCAAAAATAAATTTTTTCAAATTGAAAATAACGCAAATCCAAATCAGCAGTCTTATTAAGAATCGTTTATAGATGTGTGAACTGAATTTCGTTTCGCTTTAAGTCGCACACTTTAAAAAATACAGCAGTTTAAACAAAACTGTCAAAAATGAATTTTTTCAAATTTTAAGATTTTTAAATTCTGCTTTCTACATCGATGTAACATTCGAAGGCGAATGTCCCGAACCACAAGAAACGATTCTAAACATGACTGAGCATGTATATTTCACATATCTTAAAGCTTGTCACTTTTTAAATTTTTCGCTTGCACATCGAAATCGATCTATCTTCGCTTAAAGACTTTGAACGCACTTGAAAATGTGTTTTTAATATATATTATTGTGAATCTGACAGCTGACTATGAGGAATTAATTTTTTTAATACCGAAAATGATAGTACGTCGATCGCTCGCGTCGTCATTGGAAAAATCAAAAGTTTCAAGTTTTTCCCCAAATTGAAAATAACGCAAATCTAAATACGCAGTTTTATATAGAATCGTTTACAGTTGCTTAAAGTGATTTTCGTTTCGCTTGTATTTGCACGGTATAGAAAATACAATAGTTTGAAAAAAATTTTGACAGATGATTTTTATTTAAATTTCAGAATTTTTAAATTCTACTTTTTTAGCGATGTGAATTTCAATTGCAAATGTCCTAAACAACAGCAAACGATTTTAAATAATACTGAGCATATCAATTTGAAATATCATAAAGTCTGTCACTTTTTAAATTTTTCTTTTCAAATTCGACGTCGATCTATCTTCGTTTAAAAAATTATGTGTAGAATTGCAAATGTCGTGTTTTTAGAATATTAATGTAAATGTGGTACCTGACTTTAAAGGATTAATTTTCATATACGGAAGACGAATAGTATTTGGATCGTGCGCGTTGTCAATATGAAAATCAATAGTTTAAAATTATGACGAGCATCTAACTTTAAAATAACGCAAATCTAAGTAAGCAGTTTTATATAGAATTGTTTACAGTTGTTTAAAGTGATTTTCGTTTTGTTTTTATTTGCACAGTTTAGAAATTACAGTAGTTTAAGATAGTTGTCCAAACTGATATTCGTCAAATTTGAAGATTTTTTTAAAATCTGCTTTTTTGAATATAAATTTCGATTGCGATTGTTTCAAACAACTACAAACAAGTCGAAATCACATGGAAAAGGAAGATTTGAAAAATCTTCATTATTGACAAATTTGACTATTGACCATCTTTTTAAACATTTGCAAATTTTAATTTGTACAGCTGCAAACAAAATGAAAATTATTACTAACACAACTACAAACTCATTGTTCTGAGAAGTAAAACTTTTAGGAATTTTTTACATAATTATTTTGCCCGAAAAATATGCTTATATTTTAAATGAATGGCATTCAATTTTTAAGTTCTTATTTTAAAGCAATTATTTAGATCTCTGCAAATTGGCTTCCTGAAAAGTTTTGATAACTAAAAAAATTGAAAGATATTTTGCATAATTATTTTTTCCGAAAATGTTCCGTGATGGAATTAAGATATTGAACGTATTTCGATAATGCTATCGATTCGAAATTTTAATTTATTGTGTCACGGTTTTAGAAAAAATATAACTTTGGAAAGGTTAAAAACTATATGAAAATTGTTTTGAAAAAAATAGAACTTTTGAAAATCGACTGGTAGCACATCTTTAAATTCGGAAGAGTTAATTTTTCGAGCAAATTAATTGTTTAAAAAATTTTGTTCAAAAAGCATTGTTAAAAAAATAACTGTCTATAAATATCACATTATAATATAACAATCAAATTTTCATCTCGCTCCGATACTTTAAACTTTTACCTAACTTAATTTAAGTATTTTAAGTATGTATATAAATCACGCGATTTATTTAGATAAATGATTTCTCAGATACACTTACGATATGTTAACAATGAAAGTTAAATAATCATAAAAGCGAATTCGATTATTGGTGTTATCTCTGGTCTCTATCTTGAACACAGAGAACAATGACACGACGACACACGCAAGTGGAACAGCTTACATTCAGTTTAACAGTAAAAATAGTAATAATAAAAAATAAATTATTTACCATGTAGTACCTTTGCTGTTACCCGATGCCACCCCGGGCCTCCTCCTCCTCTCAGAAGAAACTTCGAAACACTTGCACTCGCGTTACTTGTTTTTTTCGATCGCGACGAGCGGCGACGTCCGGGTTTTTATTATCACATTTTCGGGAAAAGAGAATCGCGAGAGCTTATTCGCGCACGATGCTCCATTTTCGCGTCGCCACTTACTTCAAGAGCCACCTATCGGTGGGTCTCATCAAACGACGACAGCTAATTCCTTCGCGACGCACTAGGGGTCACTAATATGCCAAAATTGGCCACTGCACTTCATTATATATTTTATATCTCACTTATTCCAGATTTGGGCACTTCACTATATTTTTGCTGATATTCCAAAATTGGCCACTGCACTTTTATTATATATTTTATATCTCACTTATTCCAGATTTGGGCACTTCACTATATTTTTCCACTCACTATTTGACGACGAAGAAATCGCGGAAATCGCGCAGGAGCTTCGACGCGCGATAACTCCGAACAACGGAGCGTCGAAATGTCGCCGAAATTCGATAGATAAGGATCGAATATTTACCGGCGAATTCCGGAAATCGTCCGAGCACCTTGCACACGACACCATTTCGCGAATGCACACGGCAACCATTTCGCGATTGCACACGGCATCATTTCAGCTCCTCGAGCGAGAATCCGGCGAAGGAGCATTTCTCGAGTATTATATACACTCGCGGTCGTCGCGTATTTCAATAATGAACGATTAATATATGTATTTCTCGCTCTTTGCCGAGTTTTCCGACTCGACGATTCACGGCAGAGGCCCAACGTACGATGCCAAGTAACATGGCGACGCGTCGCGACACTCGCGACGTACTTGAGATTACGAGCTTTTTACGTCGCCCAACGACACTTTGACACGACGGACCAGAGACGCGCGATCGGACTTATACGACGATTAACCATATAAAGATAGTCGACACTGTTAATACTCGCACTCGTATGCTGTCGCGGACCGGACCGGCAAAAAAGCGCGCAAGCATCAGACCCAAACCGAAGCTTTGCTGCAGGAAGAAGCACTGTGACCAATAGCAAGACAGCTACTCGTCAAGTCGGAGTGGTAGGGATAGTGACATGTGCGCATGCGCGGTGGCACGGCGAACCAGTGGTTAATAACTTATTAGTAATGTTTCATAATATTCGTTTCGTACATATTCCTTGAAAGTGCACACAATTTTATTAATACGCCGAATTTCAATTTTGTACATAATATTTAATTTCCGAATTTTTATTATGTACATATTTTATTTAATTAGCCGAATTTTTATTATGAACATAATTTTAATTAGTCGATTTTCTATTATGCACATAATTTAATTTTCTATTTTTTATTATTTACATAATTTTAATTTTTGAATTTCTATTATGCACAATTTTTATTTGTCGTATTTCTATTATGTAAACAATTGAAATTGTACGTAACAGAAATTCGGCCAATTAATATATTATGTACATAATAGAAATTTGGTGAATTAAAATTATAAATATATAATAGAAATTTAAGAATACAAATTACATACATAATATAGAAATTTGACAAATCAAAATTTAAAACATAATGGAAATTTAAGAATGAAAATTATACTTCGATTAAATTCACTCAGTTAACATGCTTTTTTTAAAGAACGGACATTATATTTAATTTCGCCGAATTTAATTTAAAAATAAAAAATAAATATAATAAATATATAATATATTTAAAAATATAAGTATTTATTTTTTTTTAATTTTAATTCCTGAATAAATTATTACATTATTTTAATTTCAGGACCAGAGAGCGACCTAGAGTTGTTTTTCTATGTAATCCCCCTGCTTCATGGCAGCCAGTTGTACGTGCTGCTGTTGTCGCCTCGCGATCAGAAGCCATTAGGTTAGAACAACATTGTCATGCCTCGACTTTGACGTGGAGTTCTCGCGCCGAGCTTGCTCGCGACATACGGAGACGAATGAGGAACGGCAGCAAGGAGGCAACCATGTCGTATCTACGGGACTGGCGACAGGCGTTGCGCGCACCACTCGTCTACCGGGTGGCGAGTAGCACCTTCCGCATTCAGAGCCAGTTCCTGATGCTGATCCTCCTCATCGTCAGCGTGCCGGTCCTGTTCTTCACGTATCAAGTGGTGTGCTCGCCGCCGAACCAGATCCCAACTCAGTGTCGTTATTACAAATATAACAGGACTTATCCTACCTCGACGCCCATCAGGACTTCCAAAGGTATGACCTACAGGATAGCGATAGTAAGCGACCTCGATCACGATTCCAAGCTCGCAGACAAAAGGGACACGTGGCATAGTCTCATGAAGACTGGCAGTTTTTATTGGAATCCTACTAATAATTTTCTGTCTGTCATCTGGGATGACAGAACTGTCACATTGTCCTCGTCGCTGTCTATGAAAGGACGAGGAATGGAATTGTCGGAATTGGTAACGTTTGACGGTCGTCTATTGTCCTTTGATGATCGTACAGGAATGATATATTTCATTGAAGGTGATCAAATTTATCCGTGGGTTATCCTGATGGATGGCAATGGCAAAAATAACAAAGGTATATAAATTGCATTACGAGTAATTTATATTATTGTTTTTGTGTATGCACACTTTTTAAATCTATTTTTAGGATTTAAGTCCGAATGGGCAACTATCAAAGATGAACAATTATATGTTGGCAGTATGGGAAAAGAATGGACCACACCATCCGGTGAATTTGAGCATAATGATCCATTATGGATAAAAGTAGTATCACCACGTGGGGAGACGCATTCTCTCAATTGGATTTCCTACTACAAACGATTAAGGCAAGCGATTAACATCGAATATCCAGGTATGAAAATACTTATAATTTGTGACTGCATGAATTAATTCATTTTATATAAAAACTTTGCATAGGTTATATGATACATGAATCAGGAGTTTGGAGTGATATACATAAGAGCTGGTTTTTCCTGCCCAGAAGATGTTCCCATGAACGTTACAATGAAACAAGAGATGAGACAATGAGCTGTAATATCATGCTGACTGCAGATGAAAACTTTATTGATATTAAAGTGCGTTTTTAATAATTGCTGACGTCACATATATTTTGATGTCTTATTAAATTGTAACAGTTTCAAAATTTGTTATAGGTTACTCATGTTGGAGATCTAATTCCAATCAGAGGTTTTTCCAGTTTCAAATTTCTTCCCGGTTCACAAGATTCTATCATAGTAGCATTAAAAACTGAGGAATATCAAGGACGTACTGCTACATATATTATGGCCTTTACAATAGAAGGAACAGTAATGATGCCAGAGACCAAAGTGATGGACAAAAAATTTGAAGGACTAGAATTTATATGACATTCCATTAAGGAATAGTCTTCAATTATTTAATAAAATTGTAAATAGATGTACAGAGAATACATAACTAAATTTTTACAACTTGCTGAAAATTTAAGAATTATAGATGAGCTAATTGTAAGATTGTTTCTTTGAGAGAATAATCAATGAATTGCTATATTCAAAACGCCAGGGTACAAATTTTATTCTTGCTAGCGATAAAGAATAGTAATAACATAAAAATATGTACACTGGATAACAGATGTAAATATGTATGTATATATTAATCATTGTATTTTGAATCAGTAATTTTATTGTGTTTTATACATAAGTTTGCATTTATGTTAAAAAAAGACGAAAATATATGATATATATTTCATTGCCCAGGAAAAAATTTTTCATATATATTTATGCAAAATTACAATTATACAGAAGTACACATAAATATGCAGAAATATGTATAATTATAAATGGCAAAGTATAAGATATTGTATATATTTATATATAATTATATAATTATTTATATATAATTATATAATTATGTATTTATATTTAATAATATAATTATGTATTTATATATAATTATATCTAACTCTTTTGTCATGTATAAATATGCATGTGTAAATATGTGTGTGTATATCACCTAAACTAACACAAAATATTTTTAAAATTGTTTAATAATATTTAATATATTTTTTATAATTATATATTAATTATAAAAAATTCGGATAGTTTTCAAGCAAACGTTTTTAAATGACTGAGACAGTAGAAGGATTTTACAAAAGCACTTGGTATATCTAAACATGTTTTATGGATTTGTGTCTTTACGTTTTTAGGACTTTATATTACTAGAACAAAACAAGTGCACATCACACGAGCATTATTTCTCGATTTTTATATTAAAAAGATTGATATTAAAAAATAATATCAAGTTTATTAAAATTCCACTAATCTTGTTTTACAAAAATCAAATGATTAAAGCATAAAAATTTTCTAATTAAATTCTAAAATATATATAATAATAGGTTTTAAAAATTAAAATAATTATAGGTTTTAAATAATATATAATTATTTAAACTCGATTAATAATTTCTTGACAGTTATCAGCTGATTTTTGTCAAAAAATTGCATGCCCCTCCTTTCAAAGGAATTATTAAATCAATAAAATAAATATTAATAATTATTATAATAATAGTAATAATTATTATAAAAATGATTCAATTATTATATTTATATTTCAATTGTTGTCGCTTTTCTACAACATCGATTAATTCTATTCTTGTGTTTACTTCGTCGAATGTCATTAATAAGTTTATGATTGAGTGATTTCAATTTCTCAGCAAAAAATACATGCATTAATTACATCATTTCATAGACGTATTCTCATATTTTGAAGTCTACTCTTTAATTTTTTAATTAGTTTCTGTCATTAAGTCAGAAAGTCTTGAAGTATTGTTGCCTCTTTTTCGTGATGCTCATTTATTCTTGATTGATTCGCGTTATGTTCATAACATTGAGCGACTGTCTAATGTAGCGTTAAATTGATTAAATTTTGAAATATTAATTTGTTAAAATAATTAAATAGATGCATATTGTAAATAATACGTTCTAATATCTTAACTTTATTATTTTCAATTTTATTCCAATTTACAAAGTATAGTCAATGCATGTTTTTGTTCTAACTAAGAATAAACTAATCGAAATTACTGAATCACAAAATTAATAACGATATCTACTCATAAAGGAAGTGCAAGGATAGAATGAATGTCTTAGAAAAGAGGCAACAATATACATTCGTTATTTTTGAGAGGACTTCGAAATATTCGAAAATCAATAACATGCTTTTTTTAAAGACGGAAAATGTTAAATTTGCTTTCTCTTATATTTCCTCGTTCTGCACGCGTTCAGGGTTACAATACTTCTAGGCAAAAATCAATAATACATGTATATATCTAGACAGAAGGTGGTGGCAGCAGCACTGCGTTTCTTCGCGACAGGGTTTAGTCAACCCGATGCACTGCGAGGACATAGTTTAGCTCCAGCGTGTGTTGCATGAATTACGAATCGCGTATATTTGTACAACAGTTGTTCGTAATCTTTTTCGAGGCGTCTTTAACGTTAGACAATATGTTAACGTTCAGTAATCATCGAACTGTCAACGGAAGTGACATTAAAATTTTACATTTAGAGACTGAGTCTTCCTGCAACCTGCATTTATATTCTTGCATTTAGAGCGGAAATCATATTATTACTCCAGAAATCTCGAAGAATGGGACACTCGACGAAGGACTCTTCATCACATCATGAAAAGAGAAAATCTATAATAAAAAGAAAGTAAAAGTGCATTAATAGAAATTGCAAAAGATTACACACATACAATGGAAAATTATATAACAAATGCACAAGTGGCTTAAATTTCTTAATCACATTAAGCATTTATGTGTTAAATATTTTATTGTTACATGCAAAGAATATAAATTCGTCCTTTATTCGCTCAATTTAAAATGCCTCGGCAAAAAATCATTACTATTTCACATACAACATTAATATTCAATGTTACTAGGAAGGAATGTCGCGATACTTAAATATGAAAAAAAACGCATTAAAAACAGTTTTTCCTACTCTACGATCTGCAAGAAGAAAATGCAAGGAGAAAATGCAACGCTCGTAAGAATGCCTCAAATCACTTCGAATAATGATAGTGCGATCGCAAGACAATTAGCACTCTCGTGACGTAAACGATTATATTCCGTGAACTATATTTTTCCGACAATTTATTTGTTTCTCGGAACAAATAAATTTCGAATAAATTAAACGATTATTTAGCATATTATGCTCGCGGGAATAAGTGACCTTGATATAAATCTCGACTGATGAGTCCCGCATGGCAGAAAGATGCTGTCCACTTGACAAACATGTGGCCGACAGGTTCGCAAAAGATTTTTATCGTCTAAATATTATTCTGATCAATCATTTTCGAACATAATGGCGACGGGGGAAGACTCGACGAAGGAGTGGAACGTCGCCAGAACCGGTATCTCCTTGCTGTTGAACAACAAAATCGAGGAGGCTGAGGCTTTGTTTACCGAACATCCTCATAGCTTCCATGTCAAAGCCGGCCGCTGCTTTGTCCTCTTCATGGTATGTAATCGCGTGATGAGGCATATCGATTCTGCAATACGCTCCGACGAAGTATACTTAACATCTCAAGGCCGCGAAAGAATGTTGTTACCTAATCGAGTTTAATAATAAATGCGAAAACGCACCGATATGTATCGGAAAATAAAGGATCAATATCAATCTTTAGTATAAGTAGATTAAATCAAGATTAGTCTATTTTATTTTGATTTATTCCGTTACGAGAAATATATGATCAAACAACGAAAAGAATAAACGACCACGTGCTCTAATTTATAAAAGAATGTCTAATAATTTCTAATATAATTTAATTAATCTTGCAGAATGCTCTGATGACTTTCGAAGATGATAAGCTTCAGCAAGCCATGTTATTACTTAAAGATATGGAACGAGAATGTGCGGGCGATATCGGTTGGCTGAAATCCGTGAAAAGTAAAGTGTTTCGAGCAGAAGAGACTGGCGTAAGTTTCTCGACAAGAGATATTAATGTTTCATTTATAGTTTGAATTTTTATATATGTATAAAGGCACAAAAGCTCACTATAATTAATTGTAACGAAAATAAAAATTAATATATATTTTATATGACCATTGAAAAGGAAGATTAAATCGATCGAAAAATAATTTGCAAATTAATATTTCAGAAGGACTATGTAAATAAGTTGGAGCGCCAAATCGTTCTAGCGGATTCGCAAGTTTGCTCGGCTATATTAACACTTCTTCAACAAGAACTAACTGGATATGTACGTGGTGGTTGGATGCTTCGCAAAGCTTGGCGAGTTTATCAGCATGCGTATGCCCAGATCTCGCAGCTATATCGTCGTACTTACGGTACAAATCCGATGGGTACGTCATCACACTGATATGTATAATTCGTAGCACCACGAGGAGAGATTTAGAACACTAGAATTTTCTGTTATAACAACTTTGCATAAGTATTTTACGATTCATGGTAATTTCCATTTATTATTTGTTATTATAAACATAGTAGCATCATGAATTATAATATTATAATAACTTACTCATTCAAATATTAAAATCAAATAGATTTAATCATAATCGCTCAGCAAGTCCTCTTAGATTATTTTGTTCTATTACAGACATTTGAAAAATTAATTGTACTTTTTTATAGTAAATGTACTTTATAAAACATAAATTTGCTCAGGCACTTTCGATTGATTTCGCTAATTTTCGTAGGATTCAACCTTTACTGCGGCCCTCCCATGAGCAACGGATCCTCTGTCCAGAGTCCGCAAAGCCCAGAATCTTCGGAATGGTCGATACCCTCCTGCAACGGTTACGTGAACAACATGACACCCGTATCGTCGCCATCAGGTCTGCGAAGCTCTCTATCAATGTTCTTCTCGCTCACTGGCATCACGTCCGAACAACAGACACCGTAATTGTTGTTTCTTCTTACAAAACTTCTCGTTTTTTTTCTTCGCTCCTCGTCCACACTGTCCTCTCGTAAATTCCGAAAAGAAAAGATTCGATTGCGTATCGGCAATACCTGATATTTTCCACGTATGCGATTTGTTCACTCGAGATCGACAATATTCGTAAACTCACACACTTGCTTCGCGCACTTGCTTCGCGAAAAATTGTGCAGCTAGCTTGGATCACCTTGCTTCGTTCCTTCGTTCACACGTTTAAAATCGCGCGAATCTCCAGTATTGAAGGTGTAATTAATTAAAATATCATATTTCACAGATTCGTGGAACCTACGGAGGTGACACGTTTAATGTCGGCCGCGAGTTTCGGCTACGGTATATACCAGCTATGCGTGAGTCTTTTGCCACCGTCCTTGCTGAAGGTGATTCACTTCTTGGGTTTCGAGGGCGACAGACAGGCTGGTCTCACAGCCCTTATGTACGCACGACTCAGCGAAGATATGCGCGCACCGCTCGCCACGTAAGTTTATCGTGAATATCTCTCGAAAATATTCCTAAATGTATTTATTTTGTATACAATAATTGGACACTTTATATAAGATATTTCTTAAGAGTATGATATTTTTTGCTGCTGTTTTCTCATGTTATATCTTCCTTTGATTGATATTACACTTTAATAAATGTATTTATTTTTGTACATATTTATATATTATATTTTGAGTTATATTTTATGTACAATATATATAATTAATTAATCAATTAACAAGCTATTGCTATCTTACCTTAGATTGTCTCTTCTTTGGTATCACACAATCGTGCGGCCGTTTTTCGCACTCGACGGTTCCAATGTAAAAGCGGGTGTCGCAGTGGCAAAACAGCTGATAGCTGAATGTCATACCGAATTTCATAACTCTGCCCTCTTTCTTTTCTTTGCTGGTAGAGTGGAACGTCTAGAGGTAATCAATTAATCAATTAATAATTAAATATACAGATGCATTGTCTTGAGATTTCTTATTTATGTGATATAAAATAATCTTTTCTTACTCATTTTTTACTTTATGAGAAAAATATTATTGTTAACGTTACATCTATATGTAACGTGTACATATTTTATTTTTTACCATTGTGTAATCCAATAATGTTGTCTCGTAGTCAAACGTCAGTACAGCGCTCGAAGCGTACGGCAAAGCTGTGGAGACTTCAACTCAACGTGAAATCAAATTATTATGTTTACACGAAGTGGCTTGGTGTCATCTGATACGTTTGAGTTACGAGGAAGCTTATCGATCCTTATTGCAGTTGCAACACCAATCTAGGTGGTCCAAGAGCTTTTACGCGTACCTAGCTATGGGTAACTTCAACATCATTTTGGCGTTCGGACGAGCAAGTTCGGATTTCTTCATTACATTATCTTTGCAGTCTGTTGTGGAGCGAACGGCAAATTTGACGATCTTTTAACGACTTACGACAAAATATTTCACTGGTTCCACGAGATGAACCGGGAGACGCAACTCGGTGCTTTCATTTTGCGCAGAGTGCCGAAACTAGTCGACAAGGACACCGGACGTCCTTATACAATTCTCTATTATAAATTGCTCGTATACGAATTATTGTATTTATGGAATGCCATGCCGTCCTGTTCCGCCGAAGCGCTGCATGGAATCTTGTGGGGTAATGATCGATCAATTTTTTTTTCAATCACTCGATAATCGATAAAATTTCAAGTATCATAAAAATCGAAATAACGATTAATTAATTAAGATATTACAATATCCTTTTAATTATTTGTGCCACAAAATTTTTTTTACATCCTATCAATCGTGTAACTCTATTATCAGATTGTAAGAAAAATCATTCAGAAGAACCGATGGTGGGTCTGGCTGCTCTCTTGGAAGGTGCAGCATCCTTTTATTTGGGAGACACCGAAGCGGCTATTAAAAGTTTTCGAAATTGTCTGAAAAGTAGGTATCCGTCCAACGACGAGTACGATCAGCACGTTAGTGCGTTTGCTCTTTACGAACTGGGAAGCAATCTTTGCAATAATAACGTAAGTATGCTGAATATATACGTATACATTTGCTACATAATACAGCGTCGAATTTTTGTTTACATATGTAACTGCAAATTTGTTTCTGTTATTTCTACTGTAAATTTTTCATATTTTAGGATCCCAACGAAGGCAAAAGTTTCCTAGTGAAGGCACAAACTCAATACAGAGATTACGACTTTGAAAGTCGACTCAACGTGCGTATACATTCCGCCCTGAAAAATATACAGTGACCTCAATTTATAAACGTCCGATATTATATTATAATGTAAATTAGCCTTGACAACAAGAAACCCATTTACGTTCCAAGGATCCGTCAATAACATTTTATCTGTGCTTTATAAAGCTCGAGAAAAATCAAAGATAAAATTAACAATGCAGACAGTCTATTTGTATCCAAAATATAATTTTAGAGTTATTTTATTTTTATGTTCATTTTATATTAATATTATGCTGCATATATATAATGTGTATAATTTCAAAAATGAAAGAAATTTAAAAGCACAAGTAAATATCTTCAAATTTATTATGCTTACTTACAAACAATAAATTTTATTTATAAAAATATACGTATATGCTAAGCTTTCCGATAGATATAGTTGATTCATACAGAAAACATGTTTCTCTTAGAAAAATATGTATAGATAAAGGAATTGGATCACGTCTTTTGCTGAACAATCGTTTGTATGTACAAGTTATTCACTTATAATCATGTATATACATTTAATAATGTCTGTACTCACCTTGTACATATATCCTGTACATCCGAAAAACGGTGTAGTATAAGACAATATATTTGAACGTTTCGTCAAAATAGAATGGAATTTTTCTTTCCATCTTATTTTGTCACTTGCACTTTATTCTGCATTTTCAATTTTTATATAATTTTTTTTTCCTTTTTTTTCTTTCTTTTTCTCTTCCACGTTGTATACTTATAATCTATTTTGAGAATCGCTTTTCATTTTTTGCGATATATCGATTATGGACATACAGCCTGCAGTAGTCGTCGTGTTGGTCCAAACTTTGACATATACTACCTTTAGCGAGACACGTGCGATCACACGTATTAAGAAGCATCGCCAAATTCTGGCAGAAATTAATCTTTATCCATTCTCCTTGACACGTTCTTCTTTATATTCTGAAAGCGCTTCGGACACAAGCGCATAATGAAAAGACGCTAATGAGTGGACAAAACACCTTCTGTTGCGTTAACGCAGAAAATTGTCCGGGTACTTCGGCTCACTGCAATCGACGATTTGCATGGTGCACAAAACTAATCAAACCCATCGTTTTCTGTATCATCACGTCGATGCTTGGTATGTTAGTCGATTCGATTATTTAATTTGCCAAAAGATTCAATAAACTTTATTTCTACACATAATTTTTTATATTTAATAAATGTCATTTTTAAATTCGAGAAATTAATTTATTAGAATGAGTTTCAATTTTTAGCAATGTCTGTATCCCACCTTTGCGATAAATATTCGGCTACTGCGTCATTCAAGCTGATCAAGGCAGACTTGGGAAATCTGAGAGCTCATTTCGAGACTCTCTCGGTAATTATTATTATTTTTTCTTTTTTAATTAAAACGATTTAAGTGTGAACAATATTTTCTTAGCATAATTTTTTTTACTTTAATTATTGCACGATATCATACAACAACTGCTGTTTTCTGTAATTAATTGCGTTAGCTGGAAGTGAAAAACGTAATGGAGATGCGCGACGAATTGAAGAGCAAGTTAAAGGAAGTGGGCAACGTGATTCCGAAAATGTCAGAAGCTATTCTCAATCTGAGGAACGAAGTATCCGAGGGTAAGAAAGGTGCGATGTGTAAATGTTGACCGGATATTGCGCCCGGTGCAGTGGCATTTTCTTTGACGTCAAAGATATCGATTAAATAAGTAGAGCAACATATTGTACGGCTTATTTCCATGTCGACAGATTCTCTTTTTTGTCACAAAGTAAAAGCCTTTCTCTCTCTTTCTGTCATTCACGCGCATATAACTATTTGGGTTACATTTTTTATTTTTATCTTCCCATTCAACTAATTTACTGTATTATCAGCTGACTTTTGTCAGTTTTTAACATTTATCGCTAGTACATATTGCGTTAGAAATGAATCTGCATACGAAGAACTTACTGAAGGCTCTATCACCGGAAATCGTCAAGGATATGGTGAGGAACGAATTACAAACGTACGATGCCGATAAAACTGGAAGAACGGATTATGCTCTTGAAAGTTCAGGTTTTATTCAACAATCTATTTTTATTTAGCTTTTTCTATACTTAATGCATTAATTAAAAAAGCGATCTTGTGACCCGTTAATAATCTCATGCGTAAAAGTGAATAAAAAGTGGCCTTTAAACTTCCTTTTTTTCAGCTCCTCAGTGTAGAAAAATAACATATACATATTTTTATATATACATTTTTTTAACACATAACTTTTCCCAGATTGATTATAATTTGATCTCCAATATTATGAACAAAATTATATGCATAAACATTTCCGCAATATAATTATAGAATTACTCTTTTTTTTTAATTGATATTTCATTAATGAAAAAACTGACACACACATCTCTGGAGACCGGATGGATTTTTACACAGGTGGTGCGATCCTTTCGACACGAGACACCCAACCCTATTTGACTGGCGCACCCGTACTCAATCTGTTCGGTATACCGCTTTGTCAACAGCAAAACACACCCCGTGCCGTAATACAGGTTATTTGAATATATCTAATTTCATTCGTTCTGACCCGAAAGTATTCACCAGACCGGCGTTTTGCCGGGCGAATGCTGGGCCTTCAAGGGTAGCCGCGGCAGCGTGGTGATCCGATTACTCGGCCAGGTGAACATATCCGGAATCAGTCTCGAACACATTTCCCCGTTGATATCCCCGACAGGGGAAACCGCCACCGCTCCTAGAGAATTTTCCATTTGGGTGAGCCGATTATATAACGATATATCGAATATTCTATGTAATCAGCTGTACATTAATGATTATGCGTACACGTGTTCTTAGGGTTTGACAGATGTTGAGGATGAGAAAGCTTTCTCATTTGGCACCTTCACGTACGACAATGCTGGTCCACCGTTGCAGTACTTTGAGATTCAGGTAGAATATTAATTACTACTGCTTTTTAATTAATGTTCGAATTTGTCGTATCAATTTAACAGTGTTAATATTTTTCTTTAATTATATAAAATACAAATTAAAATTGTAGAATCAAGCGGAAGAAGCATACGAGATAATCGAGTTGAAAATCCATTCCAACAGTGGTAATCCAGAGTATACGTGTATTTACAGAATACGAGTGCATGGTACGCTTAATCGAATATAAATTCAAAACACAACAGGTATTTAAAAATTATGATAAATTCAATAAAACATAATTAAACAAAAAATATATTTAAATATATTTAAAAAATACTAAATATATTTTTAAAAAATAATAAGCGAAATGTAACTTACACATTTTGTGTCACAGTTAATTTATAGATTCTCTGTGGAATATATAGATATATTACGCTTGTTGCCGTTTAAGACTCAAAGAATCCGCTGTTACGATAATATTAATCAGATGCTGGATGTAAATCAGGGCTTGTGGGTGATTGTTCAATAAAAAGAGCGAATCATTTCAACGTAATCGTCGCTCGATTTATTACATTTGTACATATTTAATTCTCCTTTATCTCGAATCTCTCCTCACGCGTTCTCCATCTCACATCACACATACATGGTACCCCGTATCCTATCATACCTCCCCGGCTTCGTTTGATGAAGCAAGACGCGAAAATTTCACGTTTCATCAACCATGTCGGGCGCATACACGCAGAAATACATCAGGCAGACAAGAAGGACGCTCATCCCCCGGTGGTGCCGAAGTGGACACCGGATCGTTATTACATTATCGTAATTAAAATAGTATGTTATACATCTGGGGCCGGCGACGGCCCGGTATTTTTGGTTTTTTGCTTCTTTGTTCTGTTTAATTTATATAGCTTAATTTCTCTCTTCCCTTTTCTAATTCGACAATTACGCGCACTGCCTTCTCTACGGGCGAAGAACAGACTCGAGAGGCACACACGCTGCGAGTTTTCGATATACGATATTATTTCTCTCAATTAACGCGTGCACACGTACGTAAGATCGTATGGCTAATCATTTTTGCTTTACTCCGTTCTTTCCTTTCTCTTATCTCCTTTTTTTTTAACCGATCTATGTGCTCGTTTTCTTTTTTTTTTTTTACAGAACGTAATTAATACGATACGTGTGCAGCTGTGATCGGCGAACTCGCGCACGAATCGCGATCGGCGCGTGTCTAGAATAACTATAATTCGGAGGTCAGTCGTCTAACGCTATCGAGCTATCGAGAGCCGGTCGTGGTGCCGAAGAGACGCGCGTACATGTACGTAAACACATGGATACGTTTTTTTAATTTATCTCTCTACGTACATCCCTTAAACGTCTAACGTGATCCGACGTAGTGACTCTTTTTTCGAGCGGCTCGTTACTTTTCTCTAAACTTGCTACTAATATTTGCTTTTGCTGCGTCGTCTCCAGTCGAGGTTTTATCACTAGAACGACCAAGTTAAACACTTAAATCTAAATATACATATATGTATATATATATATATATATATATATATATATATACTTTGTTTAATAAGAAAAATATAAAGTTTATAATTTTATCTGTAAAGATCTCAATTCTTATCTTCTTCCATATAATAGTATAATAGTTTCTCATATAAAGTTCTACGCGTGAGTTTGATCAATTACATGTTTTAGTTGAATAACGATTTGAATACCTTGATTCGCCTAAAATTGATTTGCGTAAAAAGCCGCCGCCTTAAGAAATAATTGACCGAAATATAGTGTAGAAATATAGTAATAGTTACTCGTACAATAGACAATATAAATATCATCGAAAAAATACGAAGACCAAGATATAATGAAGCTAATTTGTTTAGATAGTATATAATTTTTTCTCCGCATTATGCACGTTATAAGCAATCATTCTTCTAATTAGAAAAATTCTCAGCCGTTCTAGTGTTAAGCGCAACTCCATGATAAAATCATCATGCATTTATGTAACTTTTTTCTCAACATATGTTTGACGGAATTGCTCTTACAAACTCGACGCATCGCAGGAGCGTCGCTCGACTCGAGATTTTGTTAGGCTTTTCAAACGAAATACAATAATCTCGAGCGATCGATCGGTCAACGATTACTACTGATTGTTGTTCCTCTTCCTCAAAGCAACGCGACGCGCCGGGCGCGCGTTAATAAACGTGCGATTTTTTTTAACGACTATACCTTCGACCCGACGAAGGGTGTGGGAGAGTCGTCAGTCACCCTTTTGCAGCTGAGAAAAAACGCGGGCACCACCACCGCACGAAGGTTCGTCAACGTTCGTTAAAAGGCATAGAGTTGTTTTTACTTTTACTTTTTTTTCTTGTTAGATTTTTACTTCGACAATCGTTAAATATATTACCGCACGCGGTAGTATCAAAATAAACCACACCAAGTGTAGAGTATAGAATATTCGTAGGTGTATATGTATGTACAGTATAGAGTTTTCTATTTTATCTCTGCTTTGTCTCTCTCTCTATATATTTTAGCTCCCCGCAAAAGCCACTCAGCATTGGTTTTCGTTTTTTTTTCTTTTTTTTTTATTAAAAAGCTACATTCCTAAATTGTTGCTGTCACTGTTGTTGCTTTTGTTGCTGTTTACTGCTGCTGCTGCTGATGTTACGGTTTCGTACTGATATTTGCCGTTACCGTTAGGAAATACACTACGATTAAAGTATATCACAGATGTCAACGAGAAGAACGCTCTAGTTGAAAAGAGTGAAGTCAACGAAATGAAGATAAATCACGAGTTTTGGATGCCGATATTATCAATAATTCCCACGATCGATCATACATCTAATTCTAGCCAAAAGAAATTATCTCCGTGAAGATCGAACGGTCTATATAATATTACTTCAACACACATTCAAGCGAATAAGATGAAGAATATATAATTATTACATCTTTCCTGGATTATACATATATATGGAAAGATAAATTTAAATTTGCATATAAATTTAATTACCCTAAAATTGCTAATTATAACGATCATACAAAGCTTACATCGCAATTTAGTGAATTAACCGAATGACAAAAATATAATATTTCTATCGACCGATTGTAGACACGTTTGATTGTTCATCGGCAATCCGCGCGAGAATTCTCAAGAGTTAGAGAATAAGAAAAGGCGAGACAGTGTGGTCCAATTAATTGCAGTTTTGTCGTGCGTAGACTCGACAAAAAGATCTCTTCTAGCTATAAACTACTGAAATTCCTTCTCCCTCCCACCCTCTCTAATTTTTATCGACGCGATCTACGTCGTTCTTCTTCCTACCAATTCCTACGGATTCGACACTTTGAAAACGGAACACGAGAGATCAGTTCCGTTGGCAATAAGAGATTGTCATAGGTTTTCAAGGTTGCGCGTTCGCGCGACGCGTACGCATTATTTACGTACGTTATTTAGCATAACCGGTTTTCCGCGCTACGCCATCGGAAAATTCCCCTGAATGATACATATCATATGTTTCTTTCCTGTCCTCTCTCTCTCTGCAAACCCTTCCTAAATACTTCCGACTTTGGTTCATTTTGGCAAGTTCGCGGCGGCGAAGTGACTAGAATATAACGACTATATTGTCATGCACTACAGTCTTTCTTAGAGCCCTTTCTCAAATCCCATACATACTAGAGACTACTTGGACGCGTTCGCTCTGCATTAAGAGGGATCGAGCGGTCCACCGGCGGAGGACGGTTTCTCGGATGTCTCCTCGCCGTTGTCTCCTCCGCCGTTGCCTCCACCACCATCCCTCATCGTCGTAGCGGAGGACAATGTCGGGGTCGAGGCGTCCTGGGTCTCGTCGTCGCGCGTCAACCTACCGCCGCGCCGTTGCCCGTTACTGCTACTAGCCGAGTCCGTGTCGTCCACGTAAATCCTCACGTCGGATCCGATAGCACCACCCTCGCCGATGTGAACCCCGGCGCTTCCGCTACCGTTGCCGTTGCCGCTTCCGCTGCTGATGCTGCCGGCGACGCTGATGCTGGCGACCGCGCTGAGGCTGCCAGTGCCGGTGCTCTCGCTCACGTTCCCGCACGGGGACGGGACCTCGTCGGATCTCTCCTCGGTGGTGACGTAGATGTGGCTGTAACCCTCGCCGCGGATCATCGCGCTGTACTGATCGCTGGCGAGGCTGGCGGTGGCGGACGGGGCGGTGACGTCGTGCGTCGTCTTCAACTTGGACGGCCTTCTCTCGTTGATGACGGACTGCACGTCGAGATCGTCCTGGGTCGCCGTCGTCGCCTTCGATTTCGTTTCCTCCGCCGGCCGAATCTTGCCGCCGGCGTAGCCGTTCGCGATGCTCAGCGTCCGAGGACTGCTGCTTCCGGCGCCCGCGCTCGCGCTATCTGGCGACGGGGATTGCGTGTCGCTGGACGTCCGGCGGCTCATCGTCGCCTTGGACGGGTAGATCTCGGCGGTCGGCATGAGGTAACGATCGCTCGTCAATTTCGGCGGAACGCTCAGGGTGCTGCTAGAGCCGCCGGAAATCACCAGCGAGGGACTGGTCGATGGTTTGCTCACGCTCAGCAGAGACTTGTTCTCGCTGCTGGTCACCTGTCAAATTCATGTGCGCAGTTTTATATTAATATGTCACTCTGATTTTTAGTATTGGATTCTTTTTCGAGTATTTTTTTCTACTAAGAATTTTAATGGATAATGGAGAATTTTAATATATATATATATTATATAATTTTTCTGAAGATAACTTTAATTTATAACTTCGATAAACAATACAATTGGGTTTATATGTGATTCTTCACCTGCAACTTTTGACGTTGTACGTGACTGGTATCTTGACTAGCCACGCCGTAACTGCGATGTGGAATAATTCGAGGCACGCTCAGGTTGCTCACAGGTTTCTCGAAGACTTCGGCGACCTCGAAATGCATTGGTAATAATGAGCTTCGTTGGTGATGGCTTGAATGGAAGGTTTGCCGGCGTTTCGACTTAAACTTGGACGGTCTCGAACGGTAATACGAATTACGACGTTTCTCGTCCAAGGACACAGAAATCGAGGCGTCTGAAAGGCAATCGAATCATTTTCAATACGACACGTTAATAATCAGCATTATCAATTATGATAATCGATATCTTCTTACCATCGATGTTTCTCTCCCTCGGTGGATTGTAAATAAAATTTGCAGGTAAGGATCGAACTTTGGCCAGTCCTGGCCTCGAGGGTATTTTTAAGTTTCCCACCATGGATACGTGTTCTTTGTCTTCATCGTCTTCATCGTCGTCGTCTATTCTACCATTCATCGCTATATCATCTTCATCTTCCTCCTCGAGAAGTTCTTCCTGCTCTGCGGCTAACTCTCTCTCCAACTGTGTTTCCATATCAAGTTCGTCTTCCATCTGAAATTATAACATTATATTTCAAATTCTTGTAGTCAAAAAAAGAACAAATTTATTATTTTAAAAATTGTACAAAAAAATGTCACCTGTTTGTGACTTTCTTCCAGATGTTTCATCAGCACAGCGACGACGACATTCACCAGTACGAATTGCGCCATCAGAACGAAAATCACAAAAAATATCGGCGCGATAATAGTGCTCACGCAACAATTTTTGACACAGTCTGCCGCATCGTCACAATCATCCCTCAGCGTGTCCTTCATGATACCATTCCAGTTGTCACCGGTGGCGACCCGGAAAAGCGTTAAGAAGGCCATGCCAAAATTACTAAAATGCGCATGCTCACCAAGACCTTGACAAGGCATTTCATCGTTGCATTCTATGGTGAAAAATTAGTATCATTCGATTTAAATCTCTTTATAAATCTTTTCATACAAGATTTTACTGATATTTAAATTCTTGTGATATTTAATTTATCGCGGAAAATTGCGGATAATTCACAAAGCTTTGTTAAAATGTATCTAAGGCAAGTTCATTAAATATTAGTCGGAACAAAAAAAACTTTAAAAACTATTTTATCAAAGCAAAAAGAATTTTCTAAATTCAAAAATATTTCTATTCTATTTTCGCGATCGCATAACAGCTTAATCAAGCTCAATCATATTGAATAGGTAATTACCTAGCCGGCCGAAAAGTTCCACTCCTAGCGCGGCAAATATAAAGAAAAGTAAGAAAAACAATAGTCCTAGGTTTCCAACTTGCGGTAATGCCTGCATCACCGTGTCCAGGAGGGCACGTATACCCTTTGCCATTTTCAGGAGCTTCAACACACGGGCTATCCGTAAAACTCGCATTACGCGAATTATCGTGGGATTAATGGGAATGATCTTAGATTCGACCTCCTCCAACACGATGCCAACGACTGATAATATCACTATTCCCACATCTAATTGGTTCCATCTACAAGAAGAACGTCGTTAGAACCATAAAATCACCTTTTCTATGATGTTGATAGAAGTTCATGCCACGTATTTGTACAAAAATGTGCTTACTTATCCTTTAGATAAAGCTGCACACCGAGAGCGACAAGCTTCATGAAGGACTCAAGGATGAAGACGGCGGTGAAGAAATAATTGAAGATCTTTAACGCGTAAGTGAGTGCTTTCGGCATCATGTAAAATTCCATCGCCATCGTGACGACATTGAGACCGATGACGGCGGCGATCGCCAGATCAAAATACTTGGATGTCACAACGTTGTGGACGAACAGCCGCGACTTGGAGTAGGTGGTATAATACGGCGCCTCGTGCATCTCTGAAAACAATTGCGATCAACATTGCACATATACACCGGCGTGGCATCGCTCGACAAGTGATCAACAATATAGAAACGACATTGTCACTCACTTCGTCTTTTTTTCTCCATCTGCAGCGCGCGTTTGGCCGCCCTGCGTACGCGCTCCTCTTTCTCCTGCTCTTCACGGCACCTATGGAAATTCTCGACCACCACGCCGACGAACATGTTTAGCACGAAGAAACCCACCAGCAGTATGAACGCGATGAAGTACAGTAATCGCCATTCGGAATAATTTTCGATAGGCTATAATCAATTCATTATTTTTCACCCTTCATCGTTGAAGTAGCACTTTAATTATTTTTATAGATATAAGCAATAAATCATAATATCGGTACGACTTTAAAGATATTTTAAATATATAGAAAGTTTATAAAATATTTCGAGTATGCGCTGTAAGTTAACACATGTATTTATCCAAATTAAAATTTGAAGATGTTAGAAGAATGAAATATTTATTTTACAATTGACAGCTATCAACTGATTTCTGTCAAAAAATATTAATCTAGTTAAAACAAACTTTATATTATTTTTTTTTAATATTGTTCTTTTTAACATAAAATAAAAAAATAGCGCGCGTTTATGTTGTGCTAATAAAATATTTATTTTATTCTTCACTCACCTGTTGATCGACGCCAACAGCGTCTAGACCGGTGTACATGATATTCACCCATCCATCTCGCGACGATAAGACGAACAACGACATGAGAGCTTTACCGAGATCGTCGAAATTATATTTTCTGTTTAACCACATGTTTCGCTTATCGGACAGACAATCCGTTTTATTGCGCACGTTCTTGATGTCGGGACCATCGCAATAATAAAACGCGCCTTTGAAGAGTTGCACTCCGAGAATCCCGAAGATCACAAAAAACGTGCAACAAATCAAGACGATGTTTCCAATGGGCCGCAATGAAGACAGCAATGTCTGAACTACCAGTTTTAAGCCAGGTGCGCGATTGATGACTCGCAGGGGTCTTAATGATCTCAGTAATCTAAATACCTATAATATTTTTTCAAAAAAATATTGTAGACGAGAATAATATAGCATTGATAAAGTTAAATTGTTAATGAATATTTTGATACAATTTTATATTTATTATAATTTTCTTTATTCTCTGTATCATAATATTGGACTAGAAGCCTTAATTTTTCAATTAAGTTTTAGCGTTTTTCGCGAAAATTAAGCAAATTATAACCATATTAAGCAAACTATGTTTTAATCAACTGAATAGCTTTAAAGCGTTAATTTGCTGATTAATTTTTCAAATAATGAGATATTAGAAAAATAAAAATAATATATTTGAAATAATATGTATGTTATAATACTTAAAATTCAATTCATATTTTTGACAGTTATCAGCTGATTTCTGTCAAAAAATATTAATTTAGTTAAAACAAACTTTATATATAATATATATTTTTTTAATATCATTCTTTTTAACATAAAACCAAAGAATAGTGCGCGCTTCTGTTGTTCTAGTGAAAGTAAATTAAACATAATAATAATATACACATAATAATATGTATAAAATAAATATCCGAAATATAATAGTGAGAGCTTACTCTTAGTATTCCAAATATTCTGGGGCTACTCGATGAAAGCAACGACATCAATAAATCGATTATGGAAATAATAACGAGAGATCCATCCATAATATTCCAGCCTGAAGTGAAATACGCATCCGGAGCATAAAGCATACCTGTCGCGACGACCTACAGCAGAATAATAATATATAAATGCGAATTACACGCGACTTTATAATTCTAATAATTTCTACTCTCTTTCTCATATTTATAATTATATAACAAAATTTTATTAGAACATCTGTCTTGCCATATATTATTAGAAATATTTGATTAATATATATTAACAATCATACATTTCCAAAATACGTACCTTCACGAACATCTCGATGGCAAAAACGGCGGTAAATATGTAATTTGCACTCGCTAGAAAAACTCTCTCACGGCTGTCAGGCGGTATATTCGGCCGTTCCATCGCCAGAGTAATGCAGTTCAATCCAATGAATAGTAACACCACATTATCAAACCACTTTTGATTAACGAACCATTGACAGAAGATGCGAAACCTGCAGAAGAGTTTATGAGTTCCTTATATTTTTTTACTTGATAAAAAAATGTGCTAATTTCTCATTCAATTTAATAGTAGCATCCTATAATAATTTTAATGTATAATTAAATTTATATTACTCCTATCTCGTTCATTGATCATTAGCATATAAAGCTTTTTGTTATTTTTTATCACTTTTCTATTCTCTCGTCTATTTTAAAGCAAAGTCTAAGGTATTAATTAAGAGGAAATGTATGGCTGAATATATTTATAATATTACCTATTATTAGGTGGAAATAAATACAGGGAATAATTTTCACGTTCCTGTAGGCAGCCCTTAGGTTCGAAGAACATGAATATCTTTTTGATTTTCTCGATGCTGCTCGCGCTTCCGTGGCCGTTCGACGGCGGCGTCTGTTCGCCGCCCGTTCTCGGACACTCTTCTTCTTGTTCGGGGAGTCGTTTGATTCTCGGCAGTGGACCAGTCTCCATCGATAGATTGTTGATCGTGCGTGGGGTCGAGGACGGCACGAGCATCTCATCCAATGGCAGCGTCTTCCTCGTGGACGTCTGAACATTTTCATATCCGCGCAGCGAATTCCTCCGCGAAAGCTCGCCGATCCATCGCATCTGGCGAATATCGATTGCACCGCGATGCAACGGAATAAAGCGACGCGAAAAACCATCGTACAACGATGATAAAGTTATGCAATTAATGCTTACCTGATTAGGCGTGATTGTGTAACGACGAATCGACCATGGGCCGTAACTTTCGAGCGAATTATTAGGACTCAAACTACGATTATTGCTTGTTAGGACGGTAGTTCGATTGTTGGGCGCGTCTCGTTGCGTGTCATTTCTTATCGAACCATGCAAATAACCGCCGTTGAAACTGTGAAAGACAGATTATAGATGATTATCATTATTAATATTATATATCAGCATTTATAATTTATTTTATTATCATTTCTAATACAATGTGTCAATAAAAAAGGAGCTTTGGTTACACTTGGCAAATTCTAAGACAGCATCCTTTTTTCGTCTGCGCTAAAAAGATTGTCAACCAATATTATTCATTAAATCAAAAGGCTCGCAAGATGAATAAATCACAGATTAAAATAAGGGCTGGGAGCGATTATTGTAAGCTAAAAATATTATTTATTATTTAATAAAGTATTTTTAACAAACGTTTCAGTCTTATTTAGACCATCTTCAGTGTAAAAATTAATATTAATACAAAGGATAAAAAGCGCATATTACATCAAAATTCGCATGTTATGCAAAAAGCTCGTAGAAAATTTTTTCAGCCGAATTAGTGATATATTTGATTATTAAAATAAAAATTGTACATATATGAATAGCGGAGAGTCATAGTTATAAATCGTGCTTATTGTCAAATGGTCGATAGATATGATCGTGTGTGTATATAAATAAATAATGAAACTGCAAGAGATATCTAGCGAACATAAACGGTGAAACAAAGAGTGAGAGGAGAAAGGGTCAGGAGGAAAGGAAAAAGGACCAACAGGAAGAGGGAAAATTCTTCACTTCTTTTAAATAATTTGCGAATGTTGTTTCAGTCTTACGTTGGATTGGATCCGACGATAGTACTACGTCCATTATTGAGTACTGTCGTATGACCGGCGTGCTCGTCGTCACTTTGCGACCATCGTTTCCTTCGCAAGGATGGGCGTGACAGGCGCCACGAGTAACCCCTTTGTATCCTCGGTGGGCTAAAGCGAAAAAAAGGCTGTGTCGGAAAAAGAAGAATATGCGACATTTCGAGCATCTAATCGAGAAACAACGAATTACACAGGTACCTGGAACTCGAGTCCCTCGTCGATGGATTGACAACAGCCGTAACGAGGCTTATGCGTCTCGGGAATTGACCAGCGATTAAATTGTTCGTCGGTATTTTGTTAGATACATCGGGCAGTTTTAACAATCCCGAGGGTATACTACACTGACTCTGCAAATACACAAAGCATTGCCGTCATTATTGTATTTTCTCTTCTTTGATTTAATATTTTAATGAGGAAACGCGACAAGAAAATTCAAAACTGTTCGAGAGAGATATTCATTCTTTCCGATTGATTGAAAAAGGAATAAATTTCTGACGGATTGAAACACGCTTTAACTGCTTATAAATTCTCGACTCTTATTGAAGAACTAACATTAATTTTCGATATTATGTGGAATTTTTGTATGATTTTGTATTTTTTAATAATTACTGTAATATAATACTGAGGAAGACCGCGTGCGGTTGAAACGTTTATTTTATAATAATTGTAATTTTCGCTTAAGTTTGAGTATAGAATGTTTGTAGCTTTCACATAATGTTTTATGTTTAGTTTATACATGGAATAAATTTTATTTGACAGAACAACTCTAATAATTGCTCGATAAGTTGGCCTTTTTATCTATCACTAGTTGAATAAATTTCTATTCTGAACTGCGACAAAAAAAACTGCCCTGCACACAATCAGTTTATTATTAACATGAAAACATACACCAGATCGATCGATTGATTCGATCGAAAGGGCAGCAGCGGGATAAACTGCTCGGCAATTGAGGTCTCTGTAGCCAACATCCAACGTGGTGTTCGGAGAATCTTGAGGAGTTGCCGCCGTATGAGTGATTATCGGTGGCTGACCCGCCACACCCATCATCTTGCTTTCTTTCTGAATGTTACATTTAGGCTCATCGATCCGTTGTTTCCACACGCTGTTCTGCTTCTCTCTGTTATCCTTATACTTTCTTAGCTCCTCCGCGCTCTGCCAGGAATTCTTCTGATCCTGCAAATCGCGCGAACGAAAACTGATGCAGTGTCGAGACAAATTTTACAACCGCTCCATTTATCAGATAAAATCACGTCGTGCTGGAAAATAATCGAAAATTCGATGGATATTTTTCCAAACGGAAGAGAAAAAAATATAAATAAAAAATTATGTATTTTTATTTAACTCGTGTGCGCATTTGACATAGATTTTGCGAATCCTCAGAAAGTGAGATTATGACGTTGAGCTTTTCCTGTAAAATGTTTGAACGGCGAAAATAATAATCCGAAATAGAAGCAACGATTCATCTCTCTTTCGATCTTTTATGCTTGAAAAAGAATGGAAAATAAATCCGGGCACCTAATAGGAACAGAATTTTTGATTAGAAAAGAGATTGCATGAGCAATTATATATTACCTGGGTATACGTATCACTATCAGAGATCGAATGCGATCCAGATACTCTTGACGATCCATCCTCGCTGCCCATTCCAGCTTCCTTCGCGGCGAGTCTTTTCGCCAATTCTCTTTGCTCTCGTTCTCTCCTCTCGTTTCTCTGCGAAAATGCATCATGAATTATTATATCTTACATTTCTGACGCGCATCGTACACAATTATAAATCATATTTCGTCAAGGTAAATGTATAATATATATAAATATGCTGATTCGTAACGTAAAGTATAATCAGTAAATTAAAACCTAATACAGGTCGAAATAAATAAATAGATTATAAGCAAGCATCCTCATATCTTCTGCAATAAGAAATCTGCACCTAAGAAATTTAATATTAAATAAACAGAGAATGAAATATTACTCCTTAATTCCTACCTCAGATGAGAAACCTTCAACAAGAATGGCGACGAGAAGATTGAAGAGAACATAATTGCCGAAAGTCATCAACGCTACAAAATAAAGTGCAGCCCAATGAGATGTCTTCTGCATACCGTTGAAGAGGACGACGTTCCAATCTTCCTGCGTAAGGATCTACATAAAAAGAAAAAAAATGGGAAGAGGCTCCCGCTACATACATAATAGCATAAATGTCTATACTTATTTATAATAAGGCACATGATCGGCAAGACGTTTTTTTTTTCAATTTGTTGAAAAATTTACATATATAAATAAAAAAACATATATAATAATAACTTTGTCATATTTAATAAAGTTTACGTATTAATTTTCAGTGTTAATAATTTTATATAATATTTTTACATAATTTTTCTTTAATTTTTTTTAATAACATAACATCTTATGATATCTGTTAAATAGATATTATTTTATATAATTGTACAATAATATTAATTTAATGACTGAAATATAGCATTATATGTCTGTCAATGTCAATACAGTTTCGGTCATTTTATTTCAAATATTTAATTAAGCATTATTGTACATAGATTGTTTCAATGTGATATTGAAAAATACGGAGAGGGTTAAAAATAACTAAATAATTCGTTAGAATTTGTGTGTGCATGAACTATTTGTTTAAAAAGACATTTTTGTTACATATACCATAGATATTTTTAAAATATTTTCATTTATTCCAATTATTTGGACATACATGCAATTATGAGGAATCGGCATACAAAGCAAGTCGGCGTTGCATTTGCACTGCATCCAAATTTACATACTCGATAGAGACGCACAAAAAACGTTTTGCCAACCAGTGTTATAATACTTCATGAATATACATGCGTCGAGTTTTCTATCACGAATTTCTCCTTTTTTTTGGCGAGCTTTTCGTGTCTACACATGTAATTTGCCTATCTATCATTATAAACTCTGTATAGTCTATTTTCAATCTACTTCTCCTTCTAGCCTGATAACGTTACACGCTGCATAAAAATTAAGAATTACTAATAGCTAAAAAAAATTAATTCAATATACTCTAAATGATTAGTATTTAATATTGATATGATTGTTAAATACAAATTGCATGCGCAATATATATTGTGATAATTATTAATAATAATATTCTATCAAATTCGATTTTTGTATATATATATATTTATATATATATATATTTATATATATATATATATATAAATATATATATTCAGAATGCAACTATCGACTGTTATTTGTCAATGTAAATCTCGTTCTTAATTATTGTACAAACACATCATATTTGTTACGTATCACAAATACGGAATACAGAAAAGTATGCCAATAATGCATAATAATTATTAACTGTGCAACGATAAATTTAAGTAGAGCAATCAAAGACGTCATCAGACTGCATCGATCGTAGATGTATAAATGGAAACACGTGATAGAAAGACAGAAACTCGTTTGAGCGGTTTTCTCCGCAACGTTGTATACATTAGTTGCTTTACATGGATGATGTGTGAGCTGAATCGAGATTACAACACACTCGTGGGTGGAATCATCGTCGCGCAGTTTGATCTGCGCGAGCAAACAAAATAGTAAACGTGAACGTCGACATGTATACGTATATACCGTTTGCACGCATGTAAAATACAAAGCAACCATTAAAGGCTCCGCACACTCGGCACGGATAACAAAGAGACAAGAAATTGACGAAGCGGGCTTAAGGAATGGTATAGGATCACACGTCGAGAGGTTGGAAAGGGGATAATTAATTTTTGCTCATTTAGGGATCTGTACAGAGAAAGAGAGAAAGAGAGAGAGAGAGAGAGAAAGAGAGAAAGAATTTGTGGACACGAATATATAGACAGAAGAAAAAGACCGTGTATTACGTATATATATAAAACACGTGGCACGTGGTAAAAATGGGCTACGTATATATGTATATGTATGTCGCATTTAACACGTAAAAAATGTATTTATATGTATATAGCGTATAAGAGAGGGAGGAACAGTGGTACCTGAAAGACAGTGACTAGTGCCCAGACGATGTCGTTGAAATGTTTGCGATCACAGCGACACATTGGGTGCCGCGAGACCACCTCGGCACAGGTACAGGGCCGACTCCGGTCCGCCCACATGCAAAACTTACCCCCGAACAGGTACATCCCTAGGATGCTGCAACCGAGACAATCCGCTGGCCTAAAATAGCCCCGAGATCAAGGACGAGGAAGGGTGGGACCGGACTGGAGTTGACAGGACTGTAGGACTTTACAATCGCCGAGCAGCGTCTCCATTCTCGTCGAACACTATATTCCTTCGAGTTCATTAATTATATAGGATGTGCAACAATTAACTGATTTGTTTACTCACTTGTAATATAGTAATATAAAAAGCTAGATTTGCGAATATTACATCGATAATAATTGTATAATCGAGCAAAATTATTTGTAAAAATGTGTCGATAGTTTGACAGCTGACTGTGATGGAATTAGTATGCAAAGTACTATATTCGAATAAAAGAATAGCTATTTAAAGTGTGAAGCGCAATTTCGAAATTTTAAAATATATATGTAAGTATAATTTTATAGCAATTTGATTTTAGTTAAACTTTGCACGACGCGTCAAAAAATGTGACAAAAGATTACGCGAGTCATTTTTATTCGTTAATTTGCAGTTCGTTATTTTCGTGCTTAAATGCTCTAAAGTAACGATCTAGGTTTAAAGCTCACATTTTAAAAATACTTCTGCAGAGAGAAATGTCTATCTTTAGCTTTTGTTAAATGTATGTGTGTGGGTGTGTGCCTGTCATACAGGATTTTTTCGATTTTTCATCAACAGGTATATACATTACGTGTATGAATATATTTGACTTTAGCATTTTTAATCTCATATTAAACTATATTGCTTAAACGTCAAAACATTCAAGTGTAAATAAAATTTAATTATATGTGAAATTAATATCTAAAGAGGATTAAATCTCTCTGTTACAATGTTTGAAAGTTTCTCTCTTGAATCATAAATTTTTGCAGCAATCGCGCGATATAATTTGAAAAATGTTTGAAAATATATTTTAAAATTTCGAATCAAAAGTCCTCAAAGTGTCTTTTTCTCTTTCACATATAAAAAGATTCGGAATTTATTTTAATAGATAGATCTTCGAGAGCGGAGACTCTGCACATCGATAAGAGATTAAGCAATTGTGTTGGACAAAACAGCGAAAACGACTGTCACTCGAAGCTCGTACAGTCACATTCTGCAAGTTCGGCGTGTCTGTATATAAATATATATAAATATATGTATCTTGTATATTTGCACAATATAGGTGAATGCGTGTAAAGTAGGTATACATTTATGGATTGTGAACGAATAATATCAATTGTGTGCGGTTGTAACGGGCTTTATACGACGGGACGGAATAAGGAACAAAAATCAAAGTATACAAAAATTTGCACTTTACACATTTTCGGTAAAGAGAATCATGGAAAAATTCTTTACTTTCAATATTTAATTCTCCCTGAAATTGTGCCCGAGGAAGCGTCAATTAGACATAAATTAGACATCTCATATGTTCGCACATCGTGATATAATCTCTCGATATAGTACGTCATACATGCGTGTTAATTATTTAATGTTTTATGCGAGCAATCAATAACGTTAAATTTAGGATGTCTGTGTTGGGAACAATAATTGACTTGAACCCGGCGTTGACGTATATCATAATAAACAGTTATTCGGACGCGCAATCCGCAAAAGAATCATCCACCCGTCAATTGTCCATTCCGTCGCGTCGGCTGATTTTTCCTGCGAATTTCGTTTTGTTGACGTTGAAAGCGAAATCGACGCCGAACGCGCTCTGCAAATATGACGAGCTTTAAATCATCTCTCTCTCGCCCGGGTCGACAGATATCCGCACACACACTTTACAGGTGCCGTGTGAAAATAAACGGTGCGGAAAGAGTTCCGGGGGAAAAAAACGCGAGAGAAGAAGAATCATCAAGACACCTGCCGTTGCAGAATGTCACGGCGAACGTTTGCGAGAGGTGGAACAAAAAGGATATAATTGCCAAGCATAAATATATATATGTATAATCGTTCTAATTACGCTCAGTTTTATATATATATGTATAATATGTATTACGGCGAACTCTCTCTCTTGCAGAGCGAGTATTTGCAAAAGGTATACGCACAAATCTACCGAGATTGCGATGTCAGTACGATATTACGTGCCTTGCGCGATCTACCTGGTTTATATCTCTAGAATAAAGTAAAAAAAGATGTTTCTCTACTATACGTCTAAGAAAAACTAATTAATCTTCTCGGGCTACCTTAATATCCTGATAACTTGAGCTACCAAAAAAAAAAAAAAAAAAAAAAAAAACTGGACCAAATTTGATTCAACCTCTAAAGAAAAGCATTCTCTTTTTCGTGGAATAAGTATATAATATATTTTTAAAATAAAAAAAAACATTATTGCATATAGTGATTATATTTGAAACAAGTATTTATTTCAAAAAGATGCAAATATGCGTGCGGTAACATAATGATAAAACGAAAATAAAAACTATTACTCTTTTATTAGTTATTATCGATTTTTTCTGAGATCTACGTGTCGAGCCATTTCTGGCATATGTATATTTGGTTTATTATATACCGTAAGTTTTCTTTTAAATCGCGTTCGTGTCATTCGTGTGCGATGGACACGTGGTCTCGTCTCGGGTCCTCGAGTGTAAAATTTTGAGACTTGTGGCGCGGCGATGCTCCTGTCGAGTCGATATTTCACGCACGATATATTGTATAATTCGGAACGAAGTTTTTTTGCGCTCGAGTCGTCGTGGGCGTTTAAGAGAGAAAGTGAGAGATTAAAGTTATTGATAGAACGGAAACCAGAAAGAAGAGAAAGAGAGAAATAGAGAAAGAGAGACAGGGAAAGGAAAGTATACGAAGAGAAGTGTAAATGTAAGTAAGTGGTGAAGTATAATGAGAAGTACAAAGGAGACACAGAGAGAGAGAGAAGAGATAAAGAGAGAGAGAGAGAGAGAGAGAGAGAGAGAGAGTAAGCGTGTGACAGATAACAGTTTTTAGTGTGCTACACTGTTCAAAATGTGTGACGTGATATCGAGGCGTCGTTCACGAATGTACAGAGTGCGAGTATAGTAATTCTAATAAGTATATATAAAGTGTGTGAAAAGAAGAGCACACGGGCGCCGACACAAGCTGCTCATACAACAGCATGATCACTTCTAATTCTCTTATTCGCGAAGCAGAGAACACAAACTGGCTCCATTAATTATATTCGTGTCGCCACGATGTCACGAGAACCGACATACACGAGAAGATTCGCTCGCCGTCAACCATGGCGTTCATTTCATTTTACAGCGGTATAAGAAGTCTGATCGGTAGTGAGGTAATGTCGAATCCTCGCGTGACGAGGAATTCGTGATATATGCAGCAAGGTGTATATAACGCGATTTAGCAACGACGGCAACAACGACGACAAGTGGCGACCAACTGTCTACAAGAATACACATCGCATGCAGAAAGAGCGAATATGAGTCAAGCACAAGAGTCATTTCTTCTTCATATATTTGCGCTCCAAGTCAGGATAGATCCTGCGGATCGCCCGGTAATCTTAGAAGGGCCATTTACCAGGAAGTGTCATTTAGGCAGGATGCGACGTATCCGGGCGATCCTAGGATAGCCGTCAAACAACACAAATGTCTGGAAAAGCTGGTCGAAAACAACGTCGACTTGTTCTCCTTTCAACATTTTTATCATACCGCGGGGACTGATTTATAGACGTTTGTATTGTTTGCGCTGTTTACTGCTCGTTTGGGCATACGACTGATACTTATACTCGTCTATTGACAGGCGACGAACGTACGGAAACAATCGGTCGAATTGTCTGTATTAGAATTCTGTGATGTTAAATATAATTGTCCCGTTTGAGAAGCTGCTCCGAAATTATTCGCGAATCTCCTGTACGTCAATTTCAATTTCGATGTTTCCTACGATCGTCAAAAATCGCAATGGAGCACAACGAGCACTAAAATTAAACCGTCTACTCTGGTAACATCAATATAATAATATCAAAAGCAATGACAACATCGCCGACAACAAGAATAAGCGAATATATGAATATGAATATGCGAAGCGTCTAAATATAGACAAAGTTTGAGCGCGATCGCCTGCATACATTTCAAAAGTACAAATTTAATATCAAATTGATTCGTTAATTAATTTGACTCATTAGATAATTTAATAAAATTACAATCACAATAATTTTAATGATGATATTTTTTATGATAAATGTTATCGTTTTCTTCCTCTCATTTTTTCTTTAACATTTAAAAAAATCTGCATTTTCTGAATATATTATTTATAGTAGCATATATACGATTAGAGAAAGTAAATTATTCTTTTCATTTAATGTTTTCATTCGAAAATTGTCAATTCGATGATTATTAGGACTAATGATCTCAATCGAATATTGACACACACAAGTATCTAATCCAGCTATTCGAAATGTACGAATAATCTTTAGAATCCTGAGAATTATATATTTACATAGTTTCATAAAATCAACGAATATATAATGAGAAAGATTGCATAGCATTATAGTGTATATGTTTAATTCATTTCTCATTAAAACTCGACATAAATGATTGTGCATTTAATTATTATGTAGTAATTATTAATTTTCCATATTGAACAGTCATGTGGATGCATTCAATTACTTAAATAAAGCATCGGAAGCAATACGGATACCGGATATTATACGTTCATTTCGAATTTGAGTACTCGAGCGTCATTAGCTCTAATAATAATTGTATATTACACCGAGTTATCGTATCGAATGACAGTATAAAGCAAATATTCTCGCAAGATGCAGGAGATTTCGCTCACCATCACCGATACACAGAAACAACAACTGCTTGCGAAAGCATGCCAGAAGGGAGCCAGCTCGACAGACAATACGGCAGCGCATTAATATCGCGCATTACGTTTGTAAAGCGACGAATGGATTGCAAACGGTCAGAAATGGAGAAGCACCGGCAAAATCGTACGAAATTTCACAAATCTTTAGAAAATTCACACTAGACAATTCGCGGGTCCTTCCCTCCCTCCCATCTATGGGCTGCCCAGCACCGGTTATAATCGCGTTTCTTTTTCCACCCTTTTTTACTTTCCAAATATATCTAAATGTAGAAATAAATCAAATTAAAAACAATGGCTTTCAATATTTATTATTAAATAATAGAAATGGAATAAATCTTTCATTAAGTTTTATAATATATTATATATTAATAATAAAATTTCTCTCTTTCTCGTAAAACTGGTACCAGTAGCTTCCTTCTGCCCTTCCCCCTCATCGAAGAAACGATGACATGCTAAAAGCATTTGTTCTCCCAGTATACATTACCTGAAACCTCAGAAATCATAAAGTGTTGCGATTGCACAACTTTAGCTCGTCGAGAAACCAAACGTGACAGTACGTATGTATACTTAGCGTACTTGGTGTATGTGTGTGTATACATATACATATACATATATATATATACACACATATATACATATATATATATGTATATATAAGTAATATACAGTATATAGAAAAGTCAAAAAGTCCTCGAGAAGATACGTGAAAAAGTATCCTTTTTTTGGTAGGTACCTGAAACACCGTCACAATAGCCCAGAGTAACGAGTCAAAGTTTTTCCTATCACACTCGACGTCAGAGCTGCCTTTCATCGTTTCACAGAATTTGCAACCAAACAGGTTCATCCCGAGAATACTACAACACAACGAAACGTGCAATGTACTTCCTTATCCATATATATATGTATATATATATATATACGTGAAAAAATCTCCCGGAATAAAATGAGAAAAAATGAAAAGAAGAGGAAGAGAGAAAAGAGGAAAAAAAGAGCAAGAGAGAATGAAGCTTAAAACGGAGTCGTGACTAAAGCGTGACTCGGCCAAGTAACCGATCAATTTTCGAAATGTATATATACAAAGTGTTTCAGAACCATTAAACATTCTTCCAGTCACAAAGTCAGATAACAGAGAGCTGTTTTAATGAAAATCAAGGAAAATCAAAGAATTTCTGTCACAAGCTTTTCAATTTTAAAGTATTTTAAAATGAGACAGATCATATATATTTAAGCGTATCTGATTAGATTTAATTCATTTTATTTTACTCATTCAAAAATAACACTCAGCATCGAATAATTTTGTAATTATGGATACTTTGTCGAATGAACATAAATATTCTGTGACACTTTGTATATCCAGAAAAATACACGACGAAAGAGCAGGATCGATCGATTGACATTTCTCTCGCGATTGTTACGTTGTAATAATATATAATGCATATCCATACACACATCGTAACTCATAAAAAAAATATACAAAGTGATAATAATCTGTAGAAACGATCTCTGGAAAAAAGCCAGATGCTGACGTGAACTTTCGTCGTCTCTCTAATCTGAAAACTTGGCCGAGTAAACGGGCTCCTGCTTGCAATCCCGATGCAAGTATATTCATTATTTAAAATGCATACTAGCCGATATCAGGAAAGGTCTCCTAAAGCGGATCTTTCGAAACTCCATTCGCGCACGTTCCTGCGGCCAAAATGCACACACCTAAGGGTGGTGATACTTCGGAAGAAAGTATCTATCTGGATCGGCACGCAGAGACATACCCGCGAGCATTTGCATAGTTCCGAGAACTTTGTATTCAATTTTGAAAGTTCGCATGAAGAGAATTTCAGGCAGAAAAGGATCACTCGGATTTACATCAACGAGATGCGCGAGTATTTTTCTTCGTCTTTTCTTCGGTCTTTTCTTCGCGACAAGTAAGTACACGTGGAAAACTACTTCAAGCATAACAAAATTATTAGTTTCTATCTTTTGGTGAAAAAAGTGCGCCTAAAAATTACGTTTAAATTATTGACGAGAAAACAATATTTTATGTTTGTTTAATGAATTATTAAAAATATTCAAAGAACATACCTGGTAAAAAATGTTTTATATATAACAATATAAAATTATATAGAAATATATAAAATTATACATGTAATCGCAAAATTATATATGAAATATGTCCATACATAATTAGATAAAAGTGCTTTCTATTATATGATATATATAATAAATATTTCTTCATATATATAAATATATATGTTTCATATGTAATTTGACATGATTATTGTATATGAACCCTTACAATTTATATATAAATTTATATAATTATGTATAAAAATAGACATACTTTACATATAATTTTACGATTATGTGTATAATTATACAATTATTTATATATAATTATATATAAAAAATTGTTTACCGGGCGTCGACATTTTCAACGTTCGCGGTTGCATTTCTGCAGCAGATACTAGCAATCAGTTGCAATAGCTGCGGCTGCGGCAAATCGACCATCGAACAATCGTAAAACGCGTCGTAAACGCGATGATGTATATAGCGGAAGGTCCTACGCAGTATAACGATATAAATATATATATATATATATATATATATATATATATATATAAACATATATATACACATGTATATATATATATATATATATATATGTGTATATGTAATCCTGCAGAGAGGTATATGTCGACATTCGCAAGCTGTGTTCTAATATCGAGGACCACATCGAGGCGTATGCAGCCTTAATATAGACGCTCAGAGTAGCAAGAGAGAAAAAAAAGAGATAGAGAGCGACATGGGTGAGAGATTTTCATGTGTATACACGAATATGAACCAAAAGAAGTGTGATGATGATAGTAGATATATATATATACATATAGCCCCTTCATACTCGTCACTAAGACGTCCAGCATAAAAGCATCATGCACACACATGTAAATATATATTCATATACGTATATATATATTTATATATAGATATATCATCTAAGTATATAAACGTCGAAAAGAATACGTTTGATGCCTCAAGCCATAAAAGAAGGGCAGCAAACGCCCCCCTTCTCTCCCCCCCTGTAATAGATCGTGCCAACAAATACCATCGTCATTACCATTAACAACGTCAGAAAGTATATATATATATGCCGCTCAAAGAAATGCTAAGAGAACGCGAGAACACGGGACAACTGCTTGTGATAAAAAACTTGAGAATTTCTATATATAATATATATGTGATATGCATTAACTGGATGGCGGCTCATTAGCCGCGCGGAAACAATGTATAAAAGCGAATAAAGTAGAAGAGAAAGGTATGAACGCGAAAGACAGTCACCTAAAAATGTAGGCCTCGGCTCGAAGAGCAGCCGCGCGCGATTTGTTCCTGAAGCTCGGAAGCTCGTGAAAGCGAGCAAAAAGCTGCTTCCGAAATATTGAGCGTCAACGAGACCTTTTTCTTTTATCACCTATTTTCTCATTTAACGTGAGATTAAATTCATGTAAGAAAATTCAGCGCAACGATCGATGAATTATTAATAAGAAAAGAGAAACAAGTTTTTTAACTGAAGAATTTTCTTTCGCGATATTATTATATACTTAACATATTTTCATACGATACTTTTTATGCGAGAAAAATTTAAACTTTTAATATAAAACATATTTTACAGATTATTTTTATTCTTTAAATATATAGGAGGAATTTTAATATGGTTACGGAAACTCGAAGGCTAATATCATATATATTTTTTTTTTTGCATTTATGCAGCTGGCGAACAGCATCGATAAAATTTCAAATATTTATAATAGTTTCTACTACACTATTGGTCCCGAAGGCGATATAAATTCGCTGTTATTAAACGCGCAAGGAGAGCATCGAGCCTTTCCACGGCTCCCTCGTAAGCAAAATACCCGACATTGTTGCGGACCTGTCGTCATCTCTCATCGACGCTTCATATTTCCAAGCGCTTGCCCAACATATTTGACAATACCTATCGGCAGTTTCGTAACTTCGATCCGCCTTGCCAGACATGCAAACGTTACTAGGCTGATGAGATGATAATTAGAACAGGAAGACGCGACAGCGCCCCGTATAAAATCCGTGTAAAATCCGCGACGCGCAGATTCGGTCGAGATTCCTCGCGGAGATTCGTCGCCTCGTATCAAAACTGATTCACGATATAATCAATCTCATCTCGACGATGATACCGGTTCGCGAAGTAGGCGAGGACCACATATATAATATAACAAATTAAAGTAGAAAAGAATAAATATATATATATATATAATATATAGGAAACTGAGAGAAGACCCAGCGACGCGCGAATCCCGAACGAGAGGATAGGACGGCGACTTACCTGAATATAAAGATGAAAAGTACTAAAAGAGAAAAGAATACGGCAACGTTATCCATGGTGCGCAGCATCACGAAGAGCTGCCGTCGCAGATTCGGCAGGAATCGCACCAGCTTCAGGATCCTGAGCAGCCGGAAGGTGCGCAGAACGCTCAGACCGGAACTGCCGCCACGCTCCTCCACGAAGGCCTGGCAGAGCTCGACGACGCTGGAAACGACGCGATGCACGAGTGCGATTCTGTTATCGGCCCGTCATATCGGTATCTGTTCGCGAAGGATTTTACGAGAAAGCTATCACGAGTTTTACGACTCACTTGGAAAATTAGAATACTATAGTCGTGAAACTGAACGATCGCGCTGCAACTTGGTGCAAATATCACAAGTGCTTTGTTAGATTTTATATATATAATATATATTTAACACTGTAGTTTTCATTCAAATATTATTATAATCAGCATCATCGATTATAATCGATGAAAACAATTATTTTTTAATCATATTTTCAGCTTTGATTAACGATAACACGATTAATCAGTAATCAAATTCGAAGATTATCGTAAATAAATCATTTTCAACTTTGATTACTGATTAATCGAGTAATCACATAATATTTTTTCTGGTATATATTTAATTAGTTAATTAATCAAGTGATATTAATTTATTCTTAATTTTTTCTCGATTCTTGATTACAATATGTGCCAATTTAATATTTATATTGCTTGTTTAAAATAAGTAAGAGTGATAAAAAGATATTGCCTTACCTTAGAACGACGACGATGCCATCGAAAACATTGAAGCCGTTGCTGATGTAACCAAATGGGCCTTCTGCTATTATCTTAAGCAGCATCTCGACCGCGAAAATCGCCGAGAAAACGATGTTGCTTATTTCAACAGCTACCGTTAATTGCTCCGGCTGTGCATAACAAAACAACCATAATTATATACAAAGGAATCTCGAAAGTAAAAAAAAAGACTTTAACTTTGTGAAAGATAATTATAGAAATTATATTGCGCGATAATTTTCGCTTTATCAATCAAAGCAGAAAGTATCACCGAACTTATAATTTAATGTATAAAAATGTATAGTAAAATTATATTAGAAAAAGATACGAGATGCGCGATATTTAAGATCCAACGAAAAATTACCTGATTGTGATACTCGATTCCCATGCTCAAAGTATTAATGAGTATCGCGAGAAGAATACCCTGCTGAAAGTATTTGTGCTCGACAAGCTTCTTGATGCATCGTTGCACGGAGCGCAATGTGCAGTAGCAGCAGCTTCCGGCGCGTCTCAAGAACCGTCTGGCCCGCGAGGATTTTTGCCACTTCTCGGCGTCGTCCGGCCACTGATCGCCCTGCAGTTCACAGCAACAGGAACAATTGTCGACATCGGACGTCAACCACTGCGTGCGATCTTCCAACGTGATGTGACGATCTGTTATACCTGTCAAATACATGTAATGAATTTATTCCCATTATCGTCATCTTTAATTAGATCGCAAGTAATTACATTTTTAAGATTCTAAGAAAACTTCTTTTTGGAAATATTATAACAATAAATGGTTAAAATATCGCAATCGACAATATAATATTTAAAATATATAAAATTAATATATAAAATTTAATACTATTACAGATATAAATTATTATGTGTATATGTATACAATATACATATTGTGTATATAATATACATATTGCAAGTTTCAAACCGCAGTAGAAAGCATCAGTAGGTTCTTGCATATCATACTTTGAAGGAAAAGAAAAAATGTCGGGTCTAATCGAACGAAGCGCTCCTCGCCGGTCTCGGCCGCACATTGACTCCGACTACTGACTCGGTGCGCTTCAGTCTTGTCAGTAGTAGGGATCGGTCTTGTGCGAGACGGGGACATGGGACGGACGTGGAAGGGATAAAAGGAGAAAGATATTGGGTCTGGTCAGACGAGGCATTCCGCTGCGAGTTGGCTCTCGCTGTCAGATGGCGACACCGCGGAGTTTTGCGATCGTGCGATGGGTGGTGGACAGTGGACACGTGGGAATCAGTCGCGCGTGACACGTGCAGCGCGGTGGATGTGCAGAGACATGTGTGAGTGTAGTGGAAGTATAGGTATTTTGTTCGAAAGAAATATTTTTTTTTCGCATTTTCTGTTAAAGATTTAAATATTGAATTTTTGTGCATAACATATAATTAATATATTTATGAATGCATTGCAATAATAATTTTTATATGCATGCATTGCAATTTTCAATTTTATTATCAAAGAATAACTTCGCGCGAGTAATTATATTCAATTAGATTAAACGAAATTAGAAAGATCCCTACATACATATAAACCTCGCCTGACCAAATCCTGATCTTTTTTTTTTTAAGTAGCAAATCCCAGAACCTGTTACTTTCTATTAAGTTTTAAGAATGCAATATGCATATACAGTAGGATGATCCTTATTTAAAAATTTAATATTATTCTAATACTATAAATAAATATATAAATTAGGATGGCTCTTATTTACTCTTGATCAAATTTATAATGTTTTGTGATGGTCTTGGGATTGGAAAAGGTGCCGCTGAAAAAATTGGAAAAAATGATAATAATATTAAATTTTTTAAATATTATACATACACTTGCAGACAATTTTAAAAATATAATTTATAAAATACATAATAATATTTTAAAAAGATGTATGTAATGATATATTTCAACAAGTGATTCTTTTACACAACGCATCATAAATCTGAGTTTCCTTCGCGATTATGTGCATGAACTTGCCTTTCGTGAGAGAGTTCAGAAACGAATCCAGAGCCAATTGACCAGTAGGAAGGGCAGCGCTGAGAGCACCACTGAGAGCCAGCAATTCTTGACACGTCATAGCCTCGTTGCCGCCCAGCTCGGCCTGCATCTGCGATGCAACGCACCTTGAGCGAGGAAGGAAGAGAGACTTTTCGATCTGCGTGTTGCGCGAGTAGTGGAAATTACCTGCGTGTGGTCCGGCAGCGGACTGGACCAAACGTTACCGTCCCCCGTCTGCGTCATCTTCTCGCTCGAGCAGACGTTACGTTCACCTGGCGTCACCGTCGTCCCCGGCTGCAACGCATTCCCGACATTATTGCTGCCATGGAGCAGTACCACGTCGCTAAACATTACGCTGCTTCTTCTCCGATAATGCGTACATGGCGGACTCAACAACGTGTTGTTCGTCTAGAAGGCGAATCAATCAAGCATACATTATGCGTGTCGTTACGCTACGCGACCTGGCGACCTCTCTCTTTCCCGTAACCGTTCTCGGCCCAAACTTGTAGCATTAAAGGGAGAAACTTTACGCCGTACCTAAAGGGATCATCGTTCTCTTTGCGCAAACTACGTACTCATTTATTGTGCCCGACCGCTAAGAATCGATGACCCGGTAATCTAATGTGATGAAGCGCAAACGCTGTTATTTTATTGTACATACGAAGCATGTATAATCACTATGAGAGCCGGCTACTATTGTTATAAAGCAGAAAATTAATATCAGCGAAGAATCAAACTTGAAAAAGCGCTAAACGAACCGATCTAAGTAAGTTTTGTTATTGCGTGTCTACATAGTTGTCTACGAGAGAGTTAATAGAAAATAAAAACTCACGACGTAATGTAAAAAACTCGTGACGTAATTGAGATCAGAAAAAAATGAGATAACGTTTGATAAATTTCCCTGATAATAAAATCAATAAAAAATGATATATAACTTTGTATACAATTTTCTTAATAATAAAATCAATTTTTAACTTTTACATCGATATATCATTACTGTTGAATAAATAAAATAATTATTTGGCCATTTATATGTTATTGAAAAATTATTTAGATCTTGAATTAGCTGACTTCAATTACGCCACTCGTCTTTCGTGTCTAAAGAAGCGTCTCACGACGCGTTTTCGCATGCATCGTCTGACGTGCGGAATCACTGTACTTGCCTCGGCCTGCACATTTCCCACGACGGCGTTATCGCTTCCGTTGCAAGACGCGGAGGAGGCGCGATGCACATTCAACCTGTGGCACATGTTCGTCGAGACTTCGGCCTCGGAAATCTCGGGGCTCGCTCGAGGCGCGATGCCCAAGTTTCCGCTGCCGTTGTTACCGCTATTATTGCCGATGGCGGTCGTGGTGGTGACTTGCACCGCTGATTGCAGAGGTGGTGTCACGACGGCGAAATCGGTGACGGATCCGCCGTTAGCACTTGCAGACACCTGCAATTGTTGTTGCTGCTGCTGCTGCTGCTGTTGCTGCTGTTCGGCATAATCCAACGCGGCGAGGAGCCGCGGACACCTTCCGTGATGCAGTCTTCTATCTGCGTACAATTGCGAGATATTTTTGCGTTTAGGAATTTTCAGACCCTTATTTAAACATTAACAATAAATTAAACAAAAATAATCTCGATCTTGTATTTATAAAATAACGTACTTTTGTGATGAAATCAGGCCAACTAACGAGCAACGTTATACGGATGTTATTAAATCAAACATTTTATTATTAAATCCACATTGTGTAGAAACTACTGTTGCAACAAACGTTTCAACTGTGCGACAGTCTTCATTAATGTTGCAACCAATTATTTACAATAATCAATTTAATACGAACATGTACTTTAACACTATATTACAGTGTAAAGAAAAAACAAACTTATAAACTAACTTTTTCTTTACACTGTAATATATAGGTAGTGTAAGGAAAAAGTAGTTGTAATATATATAGTGTTGAAGTACAGTAGTTTGATGTAACAGTAGTTTCTACACCATGTGGATTTAATAATAAAATGTTTTAAATCTATACATTTTTCTTATTTATCTTTGATTTTTGTTTTTATTTATTTATTTATTTTAATTTCAGCTCATGAGACTCTTCTATGAGGATGGAAGACACTCACCGCCCGGTACTCGATTCAATCCCCCAGTAGCAGCATTCGAGCGAATCGTTTGGCTCTGCTGTTCCTTGAGCAGATTCTGCTCCCGCTTCTGCTGCCTCTTGTACAACCACAGGCGATACCGCTTCATCAGTCTTCGTTTACCCCGTCGCCAAAGGTGAGCGATGTATCTGTGAAAAAAGAGACGTCGAGTTGTCACCTCGGTGTGACTAAAAAAAAAGAGGCAAAAAAAAAAAAAAAGAAACGAGCGTGCCGAGAAAAATATTTCGCGGAGTGAGGCGACGAGAGGCTCGCGCGAATAGCGTCCTCGGGATGCAACGACGACGAGTACCCACTTGACGATTTCGGCGTAACAAGTAGTAGGCTCCGAGGTATTCGTGGACGACGCGAGCGTCGAGGTCGAATGGTAGCGCGCGCGTTCCAGCCGCATCCTCTCCATCTCCCGTTTCTTCGTCTCCGAGAATTGCGTCGCGATTACGACCAAGCAGAGATTGATCATGAAGAACGAGCCGATCTGCAAATGCGGGCCCCCTGTCATTCACTGGCCCTCAAATTGCCTTTTGCATTTTTTTTTTATTATTATAATATATTATTGTCGCTGCCCTTTTTTGTAAACATTCGATTCAATCTTATTTTACTAGCAAATATACACACACATATACACATGACTATAATGATTGTTTGCATTGTGAAACTTTTATTTTGGATATCCATGTTATAAAAAGGTACACTAAAAAATGTATTAATTTGATTAAACCTTTCAATTAAATTACTCTTTTGTTAATTGAACATATATTAATATTGAAGTAAAATATACAAAATAGTATTTAGTCGAAAGGTTTGGTCAAGTTAACAATTTGTTTTCCAGTGTAGAAAATAAGAAAGAATGTGAGAAATAAGCAGCGCGTATATAGCTACTTCTGTCACGTTTTATTCATTATATTTTACATATTGCAAAGCGTCGGAATAGGAAATGGAGCACTTACGACTATCAGGAGAACGAAGTATATCCAGTCCCAGAAGGAGTGGGCGTCTTGCACGTAATACATTATGTCCGTCCATCCTTCCAGACTAATTACCTGCAAATCAACACGATTGCGCTACTCGGAATTACAAGGTGAAATAGTGATAAATTAATCAATAAATCAAGAGTATTTGTGTATCAAAAATATATATCGAAACGCGTCATTTGCGAAATTTCGTAAAAAATGAAAAAAGATATACATCAATAAAGCTTTCTACATTAATATCATCACATCAGAGATACGAAATTACTAACTAGCGCATCATTCACTCGCGATAACATCCTATGAAATGAAAAGCAATTTGTTCGCAATATTACTGATAGAATAATTTTCCTCTATCGCGAGACTAATGTGCGTGATCCGCACGTCTACCGATTTTCAAGCGCCGTAAAAGTACATTACTTAAATGGGAAAAATATTCCATTCCACACACGTGTACACAAGTAAATGTACACATGCATGTCCGTGAATAATTCGTATCTGAACGAATGTAGGACAAGTAACGAGAGCGCTCTCACAAGAAATATGGCGACCCAGGCGAGACCGATGTTATCGAATGAAATTGTTCCTTGGAATGGATTGTTGCCCTGGCCCTTGCACTCGGTGTAGTAGTAGTTCCAATTAACGCAGGTGTCATTGCTGATGAACGTGACGTTACTGTTTGGCACAGCGGTATTGTTGCACACCACGTTTCCTGAATGCGAGAAACGCCGATCCGTTCGATTACGAGTTGGTTCATAACTTTTATCCGAAAATATGTGGCGCATATTTCGAATTTTAGAACTCGAAGAAAGCTCTGAATTTTTTCAAGCGTCTGTCATGTAAATTTTAAAAAACTCACTGCATGAAACATCTCTGGATTTTATAAAAGCGCAAAATTACATCAAACTCAATTTCAATCTTAAAATTATTAAATGTTAAATTAAATTAAAATTGGAAGACAAGCATGTGCTATATATCATATGACATTATTGTAGAAATTCGGAGCTCTGTGTAAGAGAAAGGATGTACTCACCCAATTTAAGCGGCGGCAGATTACTGCAGGAGTGCATCCCGCTGTCGTCGGGACGCGAGCAAATGTAATCCTGACCCTGATACTCGAAATACTTCTCCAGATCACTGGAAAATCAACGAAGCGACGATTAAATCGATCTACGCACACCAATCTTCTCATAGATCCTTACGTTTTAAGACTTGCGTGCATATGCCTTATTATGCACGGATGCACTCTTTCGCATGCTTCGCTTATGCGTACATTGTATATGTAGCTATGCAGCGTGTTTAATATAATATAATATATAGCATATATGTACAGGGTGAATCATTACAAACTGCCATTTAAAATAACTTCTTATTCACTAATTAGAAAAAAAATTTGCAAAGGAAAATGAAATGTATTTCGTCGAGAGCAGACAAATTTTTATACTTTACATTCTTAAAGATATGAAGGACTTTGCTGGCGATAAAAAATTAATTCAATGATATATTTTTTGAAATGATTAAAAAAAAAACACATCCACACACACACACACACACACACAGTATATTTTTAAAATTCAACCGAGTCATGAATAAGCAGTTATTTTAGATAGCAGTTTTTCGTGAATCATCCTACATACATATGATATTCATATATTCATGGTATATATAATATACAGAGGGTCGCGGAATTACCGGAGGAGCTCCCAGTGCGACTTCTTGCGTAAATGGATACTAGAACCGAAAATATGTAAATGCAATCGATCGGAGTTGCTTCGGAGCGTATATAGCTATAGACTCCGAAGGTTGTGTATGCATTCGAATGAAATCGAATAAAACGACCTACGCCGCGCGCACAAATTATTGTCGGCGTGACGCTGTTGTGGCATTGATTCGTCAAATCGATACAACATACTTAACGTGCATATTTCGCTTTGAGATCTCGCTGCGAATAGCACGCATTGTTCGGAAAATCGGGCGCGTTCCCTTGTCAGCTTTCTGTGTCACGCTTACATTTTCGACCCTGTTTATATCACTGGTCGAGACAGCTCGTTCGATGATTCTCGGACACCTCATATAGTATATATACGTACACGTATATAGATGCTGATGTACAACGTACGTGCGCAACGATTGAGAGAAAATATATTAATGCAGATGTGTGTAAACCGACACGAGTTTGCGTGCACGCGTGTATATTATATATCACGCCGAAAATATTCGGCAGTTGTGCGAAAAGAAACACACAATTAATGTTCCTCGTAAAGAACGTGATATCGAATTGTGTAATAAATAATTGAGAATTAAAAAAACACTGAAATATATTAAATATTAGAAGTTACAATAATGTCGAATTGCATGAGTGAAACCTTGTTCTTAGAGAAGTTCGATAGATATTGAACTTTGGATGAGATAGAATTGAATGTTTAATATGGCAAAGGATAAATTATTTGATATTATTATTATTATATTAAGAGTTATTAGATAATAGATATTAAAATTAAATATATACATACATAGGTATATATAAAATGAGAAATGGAAATTAAGATAGTGGTAATAAAATACTGTATATGTGAATAATCCTTGAAATATATTAGTACACAAAGAGTAAGGATAAATGACGTGATGTCTCAGTAATTAATAATTCCTATTTTTATGCTACACCCCTTGGAATTGGAAAGCACTATCTTTCTCCAAACTCCATTATTCCTTTATGACAATATCTTGGCACCATTTATTCTGAATTCTTAGATATCCACGTGATTGATAATCACGTCTTCGTATAATAAAAATGAAATAATTGATCTCACTCTATCCCGTGCTTTACATTGCCCTTTTTAACTTAAAAATAAAATATTATTCTTTATTAGTACATGGCCTTTTTAACAGCAGCTCCTCGTAAAATAATATCTTTTAAATATACGATCTGAAAATAAATATATAATTCATTGAGTGAACAGAAAAAAATACGCGATCGATAGGAATAGTCTATACTGTCTAAGATTGTGCGACACAATCCTATATTCTATTCAAACACACACACACATACACACACACACTATATATGCTTAATCAGCAGCGTACACATGATCGCCTCTATGATCGACTCCCCTTAATTTGCGTGTCGTACTTGTATAAGACGTGCGCTTCACTCGTTCGTGCTTGCTGTGCTGATCGTGCCGGTCGTTCTAGATTCTCTTGTATATAAGATGACCAGATGTCCTACTTTTAAACAATATGTCCCGTTTGACCGCTCAATCCCCATAATGTCTCGCCTCGTTCCAACTTTCGATAAACTTTCGTATTCATGCTTAGACTTTCTCTCGATGCCAAATTAATCTGATTTAGGACTAATCACGTGAAATAATATAATGGCGAAAAAAGGTTTCAAGTTTGTTCAGAAAATTAGATATATACAGGGTGTCCCAGAATTGGCGGAAAAGTTTTTAATGGTAGATTCCTGGTATCATTTGGAGACGATTTTTCCTCAGCGAAAATATCGAGACACCAATAATTTCCGAATTATAAGTAGTTGAGAATAAAAGCTTTTTGAAAACTAAGCCTTGTGGAAATCAAATATTAAGAGAACTACATTCTTCAGTTAATTTTAGGTAGAGTTTGCTTTAATCGAATTTTAATATAAAGCTTAGTTATAAAGATACATAATAACAAAAATTGGGGGAACATGATAAAAATGATGGCCTTCCTTAACATTTTCACTAAGGAAAACTCGTTTCCAAATAATACTAGGAATTTGACATTAAAAACTTTTCCACCAGTTCGGAGACACCCCGTGTAGACATAAAAATAATGCAATTTAATAATTTTTTATTTCTATAGGATATGAATCTACAACAGTACTCAAAAATAATATTTTTTTCACAATAAGAAAAGAAAGTTTCTTATTAAAATCTCACAATCTGGTCACCTTGTCACCATGTGCGCGCATTTTGGCGACTTTGCTTTCCGCGATTAGCAATAGCACCTCGATGTTCTCACATACATCAGATAAAATATGACGAATATACAGAATATACAGTGTCTGACATAAGGTGTTACACCGAAAATATACAAGTAGATCTTTGTTATTTGGAGACAATTTTTCCTCAGCAAAAATATTGAGGCATCAATCATTTTCGAGTTATAAGCGATTGAAAATAAAGGGTATTTCGCAAACTAAGCCTTGTGGAAATAAAATATTAACAAAACCACATTCTTCAATTAATTTCAAGTAGACTTTACTTTAATAAAATTTTAATAGTTATAAAGATACATGATGGCAAAAATTGGGAACATGCAAAAAAATGATGGCTTTCCTCGACATTTTTGCAGAGAAAAAATTCTCTCCAAATAAGAGATCCACTTGTATATTTTCGGTGTGACACTTTATGTCAGACACCCTGTATAATATAAAAAAATCCTCGATTATGAAATAAATAAATTTATGTTTTTACTTTCTTGTCAAAAAATCTGAATGAAAATCTCCTACTGCTGCGATACTCATCGCGAAAATCGCCAGTATCCCTTTTGGGATGGATTTTCAGGAGAACAGGTGTATATTTGGCTTAGAGAAAAATGACTTTAAAAATGAATTGAAGTTGATAAATCTCTTCTAGGGCCATCGCTGTCCGCAATGGCTCCAGAGTTGCGCTACCAGGGTACAGGAATGGCAGTAAGTCCGTGCAGAAGTCGATAAACGTTCGAAAATAGCTGCTACGTATACCGGAATAGACCGCGCAAGCACCGCGTGTTTAATTAGCTCTCTCTCTCTGGGCTTAGAACTTTATGGAGCCTACTTCTCCCGCTACGCAAGTTTGGAATTAAAATGACTCGCGCGCGAGACAAGAATTGCAAGTATGCATTTATTAGGATCTTAAAGCGCGCGATCAAGCTCGCAGTTTTCCTAAACTTTCATCCTCTCCGACATTTCTATGAACGAAAACGAAATGTTCTCTGCGATGCTTTAGAATTCGAACTCGTATCACGGTGTAATAATTAATTAATGTTAGTAATGTCATTATGATATACAGGATGTTTCTCAAGATGCAGCAGGATTTTTCGAGGGATGTGCAGTCGGCTTTTTCCTTAACAAGAAACGTCAATTATATCAAGCTTTTATTAACTGTAAAAGATTAAAAGTGATTTTAATCTTTCCATTCTCGAGTTTACAGTCATCTAAAAATCCGTAAAAGCTATTTAGTAATCCGGAACACCCTGTATAACAAAACGATACACTACGTGAAAGCGGTGCGATGTAGTGAAACCACAGAGGCCACCGATATCGTACACACATACACACACACACACACACACACACACACACACGCACACACATACACACAGAGTTGTTTAAACGATCGAGTTCACATATGCAGAAAGCATCGTTACTGACTAGACACGCTGAGGAAGGATAAAATAGAGAGAAAGAGAGAGAGAGAGAGAGAGAGAGAGAGAGAGAGTGAGATTGTGAGATACGAGCGACGAAAGATCACATCAGGAAAATATATGTCCAGAGCAAAGAGAGAGGAGAGAACATCGACTCGTGCATCTCGAAGTAACCGAAGAGTTTATCGGAGTAAGTAAATCTCGTGGAAAAACGTGAAAGTTTCGGGCCGTCAACACAAATTATATGGATTCACCATTCCTCCATCTCATCATCCTGTATCTCCGATCTTTCCGAATCGCACGATTTATGTACAGCTGGTATATATATATATATATACATATATATATATATATATATATATATATGTCGAAGAGAGAACTTTAGTGCCAGACACTAAGTGTAAAGACTCATGAAGTAACTCGGACACTAAAATACTATTTCGAAGTTCAGGAGGATTGATTTCACTTCTCGCTCTCGGGATTCTTGAAACCATCATCTCCTCAATTTATAGAGTTATATTCAAAACAGTATTTTATTCGTCAACGATTCGAGTCGACATGCTCTATGTGAGTACACACTACGGTACAGTTTCGCACACTGGTACAGTGGTTTAAGAGAGAAGAGAAAGATAGACAGAGAGAGAGAAAGAGAGAGAGAGCGAGAAAGAGTGGGCGAGTGGGAAGAGAAGAAGAAGAAAGAAGAAGAAGAAGAGTGAGAGAAAGATAGAGAGATAATATATACATATGCACATCACGTATGGTTGCATGTATATACACATATGTACATATGGATGCCACGTGTATGTATATTCTGTGATTCATAGAGGTATATGTATTATTGAGATAGAGAAAGAGAGAGAGATATATATATGTATGTACAGCACATTGTTCTCTACTAGAGCTTACTAAATGCGTGATCGAACCGAGTACTCGTCCGAGAGTAACCTGCAACAGCGAAACAACAGCCTGTCACTGCCTCCCTGGGGTCATGTACTTACATGTCTAGTTTTCTTTTTTTATAGTCACGAGGAGAAGGAGAGAGAAAAAGAGAGAGAGGGAGAGAAAAAGAGAATAAAGGGAAGAGAGTGAGATAGAACATTTTTAGATCGCCTAACACGATGTTCCTGTAAAAGCAAAAGTTCAGGAAGTAGAATGTACAGATCCATTCACGAAGGGCTTTTCACGAACTTTTCCTCCGGTCCCTTTCGCCATCGATATAATATATTCCTTATCTAAAACACGCCGATAACAGTTCCCAAATCGATACTTGAAGGTTTGACAGAAAGATTGCTGTAAAACTGTCATGTTGGTAAAATTCAAGTAATTTGCGCTCTTTTTTCAAAGCAGAAGAAACCTTGGCCTCTTTTACGTTCCACGATCTATTTTTGTATCAAATTTTCACTTTACACTAAATTATCTCTTTTTCTATGTTTAAATAGAGATGTCGCATACATCGAATCACTAAAAACGTTAGAAATATTTTCGCAAAAATAGAGAAAACATTTTTTAAATATAAGAAAAAAAAGGTATATAAATATCATTTACATATTATATGATAATCCGTGATAATCCGCGATAATCCATATATCCGTGATAAATTTTCCGCTATTTACGTCATATAACGTATGTAGCGTAATATAATGTACGTAATATTACGTTATGTAACGTAATATTGCATACATAAATTATTTAATTATCCATTTTCGCGATCAACCACTTGTTATTTGCGGATAGTTTCGTGATAAGCCGAACAGAGTGAACGCGAGTTATGAAAGTTTGCACTTGTATTCTGAATAGATATCGATGTCTGATAAAAGCAAGATCCAGGGCAAAATAGTAACTTGCGAAAGACAAAGAGCGAAGAGCGAAAAAAAAGCGGAGCGTTAAATTTACAGCGAGAAAAACTCGGCAAGCGATGCTTTGCGACAATTCGAGCTACTTCGTCATGCAATCTGGTATATATTAGATAGATTGGTTGGGTTTTCTCGTGCGAGCGAATCGCCCGATATATCAAGTCGTTTACTCGATGCCGAATCACAAACAACATCTGTGATCGGCGCTCGCGAATCTTTGACTACAATAAATCTCACCCTCGCAAGTTTCACAATTAAAACCCTGAGAAAATACGCACAATGACGATTGTTTGAAGCGATAAAAATAAATTGCAAGCATGTCAAAAAAATCAAAACACTGTATCTAAGCAAAAATCTATCTGATAAAAAACTGTAGACTAGGTAATAGAACTTTTGTGCAATAGCGTATCTTGAATACAATAAACATTAATATCCATAATTTATAGCGTAAATAAAATTTACAAAAACTATCACTCTTAACGTTTATGTATTCGAAATATGTTATTGCAAAAGATCCCAAAATAGAGACATCGCAAACATTGCAAAAGTGTGTTTCAAATGTACGACAAACGCCTCGATTCACTTTTTCTTTTTTTACGTTTTTTACGTTTTCAGATATAAAAATTGTCACGATCGAGTATTGTTTCGCGCCGAACGCAAAATTTTACCGTCCACTGTACGGTATTGCAAAAAGTACTTTTTTTAAATAATAATGACAATTGTCGAATATGATGTCATTTAATTTTTGCATATTTATTCGCCGAAAAAATACGTGCTCGGCATTTGGACAAAAAGACACCAATGTGATGCCGCCCTTGAAAAACTGCACAGCGATCGAAAGATAGACAGCGAAAAAAAAAATCAACGAGATGCGATGCAGTGTGAGGCGTAACGTGAAAAATCGAAGTCGAACATTCATAAAAAAAAAAATAATAATAATCGATTGGCTCGAATATCGAACGAATCGTCTTAAGATTCTCGCCGACTTACTCGGGGTACTTGACGTTGGGTAGAGCCTTGAGGAAGCAACGTTGGCGTAATATACCCTCCCACAGTTGCACGCCGACGATGCCGAATATGAAGAAGACGAAGAAGCACAGTAACAGAACGTTGCCTAACATAGGAAGAGTGTCGAGTAGCAGCATCACCAATATCCGCATACCTGTTGAGGATTTCGTAGAAATAACATTTCATAAATGATTGATAAATATATAAGTGTATGTAGTTGATGATCGATATTTATAAAATTCCTTGCATCGAGAGAGAATACTGCTTCCAGAATTCTTCTTCGGGTTCACTGAAATAGCTTTACATTACTTTATTCTTTAATTCTACGCAGAGAGAATTTTCTCTTAAAATTTTTATTATAATAAAAATATTGATATCTAACTACAATAAGATATAAAATATGTTCGATTAATTTTACGGTGTGCATATATTAATATTTTTATTGTGATAAATATTGATCAGAAAAACTCGTGAAATTCTTCCAATATTGTCTTACAATTATCATGATTTTCAGGGTAAATTTTAAAAGAAAAATCTCTCGATAAATGATTAAAAATGATTGGTTTGTGGCAATTCGAAAATACATATCATATGATACAATAATTTAAACAATTGTAATATTAATGACAGATATAATATATGAATTTCCACTCTGATTATTCTAAAAGAAACTCTAATAAAACCATAATTCATAACTATTTTCCAATATTTTAATGTTAAATATTACAATTGCGAATTCAAATTTTGTAAATCACATTAAGATTGAATCATTCATTTTGCTTTAGAAATCTGATGTTCACACAAGCGTCCTCTCAATAATTTGTAATTTGCAAGTCATGATGAAATTAAGATAAGATTAGACCGAGATACAATATAGAATACAAATATCGATCCTAAAATCTGTTATTAAAATGAATATTACAAATTCTCGAAGAATATAGCATATTGTATATATTTCACGCTTATGCGATTCAATCTTGAAATATAAGATAATATATAGTTCACATCTTACTCCAACTTCACTTGCTCTTGATCGATATACGTACTCCTTTGCCTTTGCTCCGTTTCAATTTCACGATGAATTCAACCGTGAGTGCACTAGGATCTACAAGCGGCAGTTATGCGCTCATCAATGCACCGTGAAATCGACGACGAGAGCAAATCGGAGTAAACTGTCAATCGTCGAGATTTTTGACATATCGCGAAAATCATGTACTTACTTGGTATACGATTGATCGCTCGTAATGGCCTTAAAACCCTTATCGTTCGTATGGCTGACAGATTCATATTTTCCACATTTAGGCAGTATTCCAAAGCGCTACAAGCAAGTCCAAACAGAACTCCTTTTTAGTGTTTGCTGTCCACACTTTTTCAATTATTTGACATTTTTTACGATTTGCACAACAATCTTGTTTTAATTTCATAATATATCACATTTCACGTGATACGCTTCATGCAAAATATATTTAGTATACTTTGGAATTTAATAAAGTAAAAAGTTACAAAATTACAAATATATTTTATATAATTATTTAAACGAAAAATACATATCTATAAAATTATATTACAAATAAAAAATACAATCTTAGTTAATTAATTATGATTATAAAAAATGTAAATTATTTTTAAAAAGTTGTCGATCTGTAAGTCATTACAATGTATCTCCTCATTGTCACTCAATACCTCTCTCACATAGATTCGACAATACATATATTTCAAAAAATGACAAGAAAAATTTTAATAAAAAATTATAACAAAGCGTAGAAAAACAAACGGAAACAAGTACTCACCCAGCGAGCACTATAAAGAAATCTAATCTATTCCAGGAATCCGCGAGATAAGTTCCTCTACCGTAAATCCCCATCGCCACCATCTTTATAGTCATCTCCAGGGAGAAGAAGGCAAAAATGATATCATCGAACATCTGGAAGAAGTAAGCAGGAAAACGCGGCTTGATTAGAACGGAGAGTAACGATCGACGTAATTCGCCGTGATTGATTACGGGCATTCAACTGGAGGATTCGATTAACGGCCAAGCCGTATCAGTAATTTTCTCATCTCTTTCCCATCCCCCATCCTTCGCCCCCTCCTTCACTTCCTCCGCCTAGACTAATTGCGAGCCGGCCGGAAACCGTGTCGAGATGCGCGATCGATTAATTTGCTTATTGGCGCGCTGTGTAATCGCTGCTGTTATGCAGAGTCTTCCAAGTTGGCTTCATTGAATTGTTAAATTTCCCGATTCTGGGTATCGGCACTTTCAGGCTCCGGCTTGCAAATGCGTTCTTATACGGAAATGGCTCCCATTCAAATAAGCTCGATACACTCTACTTTCTCAAATCCGCGATAACGCGGATTATATCCGTTTCTTCCATCAGCCCCCAAAACTGCTATGTTTTGCGGGAGAGACATACGTACCTGCAATATTTTACATCGATTCGTTTCACACTGGTCGTCCACGCACGGCTGGTACATCCCTAGAGTGATGCAGTTTAGAAGAATCACCATCATGCTAACCCTCTCGAACCACGTGAGTTTTTGTTAAGGAAAAGATCAATCTCTCTTTCGAAATATTTTTCACATCCTCTTATCAAATCAAGGATAATAGATCGCAGGTACATGTGAACAGAGTGCCAAGCAAATATAAAAAAAAAACCTTTACATGTATCAAACCTTACATGGGATCAAATCATAATATTTTATTCATGCTCACCCTCTCGAACCATGTGAGTTTCTATTAAGGAAAAGATAAATCTCTCTTTCTAAATATTCTTCACATCCTCTTCTAAAATCAAGGATAATAGATCGCAAGAACATATGAACATTTGTGTCGAACAAATATAAAAAAAAATCTTGACATGTATGCGATCAAATCATATTTTATGCATTCTCACCCTTTCAAACCACGTGAGTTTTTGTTAAGGAAAAGATAAATCTCTCTTTCTAAATATTTGTCACATCCTCTTCTGAAATCAAGGATAACAGATCGCAAGTACGTGTGAACATTTGTGCCAAGCAAATATAAAAAAGATCTTTACATATAAAAATGTTGCATGGAAAATAAATATGAGATACAAATTAATTGCTCGAATTATCTACTAGATATTAAAATCACCAGTAAAATAATTTTAATAAAAGCGGAATGAGAATCGTATTTTAATAAATATCAAAGTGAAACAAATCTTTATATATCTGCGAAATAAACATAAGTACGTCTTGTTTGTTAGATAAAATTGTTAATAATGATTGGCAGAGCATATAATTGCACTTGTAATTTCTTTTGATCGATAAAAATCAACTCTGTTTAATAGAATAAACACATCGATTATCGTTGCCAAGTGACCGTCACCTAAACAGTGTCTTCTTCACACGCCATTTAACAAATGGACAAGAGTTGCGTGATTATATCTAATCGTGTTTTCTAATCTCTACGCGAATAGAGAAATAACATCGCGGACATGAGTGCACATGAATAAAATATTACGATTTGATCATTATTATATCTGCGATTTGTACAAGAACGATTTTTCTTCAATGTGTTTTATGACACATAAATGCTAAATATATTGTAATACAGTACAGGGTCAAATCGGAATCGATAATTGGGATATGTGTGCAACTGGCACAATGTAATGAGAGTTTCCAATCATAAAATTACTAATTATTCATTTTCAGCAGTTACAGCTTTTAATGAAATTGTAATATATTTTGGTATTAAATATAATTATTAATTATATGTTAATATTATTGTCAACTCTAAGTATTTTAAATAAAAAAAAAATATATATATATATATATTCGAGAAAATTTATGTTATATAAATATAAATTTTATATGCATACACACATATATATTTTTTATCACTTTTAATCCTCATATTCTTAATAATCTTTTGATCAAGCTTTTTATAAATGCTTGTACTTTTTATTATTAAAAAATAATTATCGAATACTTTTACAGGAAGTAGTATGCTTTATATATATATATGTGCGTGTCTTATTATAGTATAAAATACTTTTATACTATAATAAGATAAGAGCTTTTAATATAATAAGCTATTCTTCCAAAACGGAAATAAATCAAATGCATGACGTGCGAGAATAAGAAACGTGAGATCGATCGACTTGGAGAATCGCGATTCGCGCTCCACCCTTAATTTACAGGACGGCGCTACGATGATGTCGCGATATCCATCAGCATCGCGTGCAAACGACTATTCATACGTCGACTAGCAGGCTACTGACATCGAGTTTATACACGCGAGGCCGACGCCCTTTTCGAAAGGTTAAAAGTATACAGTGTTTGCTGTTATCTAAATGAAATTATATAGATGATCATCTGGATGCAACTTTGGCGTCATCTTATCTTTATATGTATAGACACAAATATGTATTATCTATATCTGCATCTTAGATGAAAAAAGTATTATCTTTATTAAATTATCTAGAATAATTTCAAATAATTTTGATTTAGAATCATAGCACATAAAAATACTTAAATAGTAGAACTTAAGCAGTAAGCGACAAAAATTTATAAATAAAAATATGAATACATATATTTTTACATTCCTTTTATAATTTACGTTTTTTTAAATAACTGCGTTTACATAAGCAGTCTTAAAAATTATTATCTAGAAAATTATCATCTTCATCTTACCTAAGATGAAGTTACATATTTTTATCAATCATCTTTATTTAGCTAATTTGAAAATCATCTAAGCACAACATTGAAAGTATATAAGGCGCGTTATATCAAAACAGAAATTGCTGCAATCTACTTGTTGCGTCCATTTAATTATATAGGCCTCGAAGGTGATCCGCGTTCGAATCAATCATCGGTACACGTTTGAAAAAATAATGTAAAAAAAGAATAAAATGGTGAAAATATAAGTGACATACTGACATCTGAACTTGAAAGACCATCTTCATATATAGCCTTCCCTGCTTTTTACAGTATCCGGGCGATAAATGGCTCGACCGTGTGCGCCAGGAAATTGGTAGACTAAAAATAAATCGATCGTGGTTTATCACGCGAATGTACGAACATTTCGTACATCTCGATATTGGCTGAACGGTTCTTCGGGATATATTCCCGGCAGAAATCGAGAAGTAATCAGACTAATGAAAGCGACAAAATCGACACACCCCAATTCGTTTGATGCCTACGGATCAATCTCTGCCATTAGGCTCCTTAAAACATTTCCATTTAATCTGAGCAGAAGTTTCATGACGGGTGTTCGTCAGCAATGATACTTAAGTATCACGTAAAATCGAAAGACTCTCGGCAAATTAGACTTTAACGGCGCAGATTCTCATCTAGCTAACTTAAAATGAGTTTTCAAATGAGTTCTAAAATGAGTTCTAAAAATTTAATTTAAATTTAAATCATAATAATCCCGTTTCCGCACTTTTATATACGTCCAACAACTATAAGGAAGATAACATTATACGATACTATCAGAATGCATAGACAACGCAAATATCTAAAAGAGCTTTTCAAAACGTCTAAGATCTGTGTTAGTGATAAGTCAAAAGATAAGTCTTTATTTTTCAAACGTCTATTACAGACGTCTTTATAACTTTTACTGTTATTGCGGATCAAAGCGATTTCGAAGGCGATCGCTTTTGAATTCCAATTAAACACGGAATTGTACAATCTACGCAGCTCACCCATGTCGGAGGCATGATAGATCGCTGCGCGATTCGTAAATCGAAATCGTATCATAATAACAATCTATCACGCCGACACAATTTCGTATGCCAGCGTCGAGATATCGAGGGAGCAAAGTCTGCGAGCAGCCTCTTAGCTTCCTCGTGCCTTTATATACAAACGGCAGCGAGCACCTGTAACGTCTCATCGCCGCGAGAAAACGGATGGGAAGGAAGCGGGATGCTCGCATTAAAAACCAGCACATCGACGGTTTTGACAGGCGGATCTCGAGAAACCGTCTGCGTTATCTGCTACCCACAAACGTGCTCGGAGTGTGCTCGATCAATAAACGACCTCTACTGAGCTCTTTCCAGTGTGCAACCCTCGCATCTTGGCAAACGTCACTCGCACGCTAATGCAAAGGAAGTCGATTGATATAATAAACATTCGTGCATTCTTCGAGAAGACGCTCACTCTCCTTTTATCGAAATCGAGTCTAACAATTGCAAGTTGAAACGAGATGGTTCCGTCTTGGAGATATTTGGAATAAGAAAGAGAACCTTGTCTTAAATTAGAACAAGTTTCCAAGCATACATTCAACACGGCAAAGAAAAAAAGGAAGAAATCTTTTTTATTATTCAGTGTCTCTGTAAGCAGGGTTGGCCAGATACTTCGAAACAAAATATTTAAATACAAGATACAAGATACTGTTTCACGTATATATATTTAAATACTATTGAAATACTTTGGTTTTGAAATACTAATTGTATTTAAATACATTTATAAATACTATTAAATGCAATTATTTTTTAATTTTCTGATTATATACTATATACTTAATATTAAAGTAATTACAAAAAGATTATCTACTAATATTTAAAAAATAAATTTTTTTTAATAATAGTAATAGTAGATGATTTTATTGTAATTACTTTAATATTAAGTATAATGTGTATAATCTGACGGTAGAATTATATGAAAATAATATCAAAAGTAAGTTAATTTCAACACTTTGAAAGATAAGTTTATTTGAACTTTAAACTTTATAAAATAATAATAATTAAAATAAACACATAATAGCATATATTATATTATATATGTATAATAATACATAGCATATATATATATATATATATATATATATATATATGTAATATTAATACATTTAAATACAAGATACATTTAAATTAAATAATTAATTGAAAAATTTGAAATACTTGATTATTTGGTAAATACTGTATTTAAATAAGATCAGATACTTTAAGATACATAGCTACCCAACCCTATCTGTAAGTATCAGCTGTTTCAAATAAATCATATAGAATGTGACATAATTATTATTATAATTGGCAGACAAATTACGATTAACCTTCGTGTAATCAGTTGGCTATTCAATTGGGCGTGATAAATATAGTTTCGTAAATACTTCATTGCTAATTACGTTTTATGTGTATATTAATGTGACATATACATATAATACCGTAATATATTATATCCCGACGAGCACTCGGTGACCTTGTGACGTACACTCAACGAGCTAAAATCGTGTAATTAATGCGGGCGTAATATATCTGCGTAATTATTATATAAAGTTGTATAATTGACAAAGACAAAGGATAATATCTGCGCACATCGAAATAATTGTTTTCTTTTTTATTCCTGCACGTAATAAATGCTCCAGTTCACGTACGATGCATTCCGCATCGGTGTGCACGGATGATACATCGGACAGGTGTATCCGTTCAAGTGGAAAACGGCTGAATGTACGTGAGGCTTTACGCGCTGAACCTAATGGATCGTGTTGTTGTTGTTGTTGTTAACTTTTATCCCCTTACATAGCACGCACCGCCCAAGCCATTCCTGGAAGGTTAATCATTCTAC